CTGGGCAAGATGCCAGACTTTTGTGAGTGCTCCTGGTAGTTAATTTCAGGTGTCAACTGACTGGATTTAAGAATTCCTAGAAACTTGGGAAAGCATTGTTTTTGCTTTTGGGTACGACTGTCAGGGTGTTTCCAGAGGAGATGAGCTTAGGAGTCTGAGTGGATCAGGTGGGGAAGATCCACCTTCAGTGTTGGGGGCATCATTCAAGAGCCTGAGGTCCTGGAGAGGACAGAGAAAAAGCAAAAGTGTCCATCTGCCTGCTGGAGCTGGGATGCAGTTTTCTTCTCCTCTCCTTGACAGCAGCACTCCAGGCTTGCTGGCCTTTGGTCTCCAGGACTTGTCCCAGTAGTCCCTTGGACTGAGAATTACACCATCAGCTCCACTGGCTCTTCAGACTTGGACTGTGCCACACTGCCAGGCTCCTAGGGTTCCAGTTTGCAGATGGCCTGTTGTGGGACAATCTCCATAATTGTGTCATTCAGTTTCCCTAATAAAGCCCCTCTCGTATGTCTGTCTCTGTGTCCTGTTGGCTCTCTTTGGAGCATCTTACAATGCATTGAGGGGAATGTGTCACCTGAGTGCTGAGCACTGCCTCCTGGGCACCAGCTGTCCCTCTGTGCACTTGACACTTAGTCGGTGGCTTGGTGGCAGGGGTCTGGTGGCATGCTTTCTTGCGTCCATTTTTTGTCTGGTATGTTGGCAGCGCGGCCCCAGTTGCCTCTGAAGAATGTGGTTATAGACACTGGTGTATTATGGACTCCAATGTGCATTAGGGGAGTGGGGCTGCCCAGAGGGCCCCTGACTGCCCAGCTGATGGTACGTGGCAAGGCTGTATCTGACCAGTCTTTGTCCCCCTCCAGAAGGAAAGCAACCATGGAAGACCTAGGGGAAAACACCACGGTTTTATCCACCCTGAGATCTTTGAACAATTTCATCTCTCAGCGTGTGGAGGGAGGATCTAGACTGGATATTCCCACCTCGGCCCCAGGTTCTCTGCAGATGCAGTACCAGCAGAGCATGCAGGTGAGTGGCATGGCATGTGCCTGGGTGGGAGTCTTCTCTGGGGAGACCCCTAGGTCCAGGCAGGACCCGCTCAAGTCTTTTGTAGTTGAGATGGGTCAGTATTAGCTCAGCCTAGAGACCAGTTACTCGTCTTCCAGGTCTCACTGTGGGCACTCCTCATTTTGGGGCAGTAGCTGGAGGCCATTTGGGGCCCTGAGCCATCATGGCTTAAAGGCCTGCCTTGTTAGCACCCTGAGTGGGCCTGGCGTTCAGCATTGCATTCACACAAATGCACCCACAGACTCTGGGGACAGGATCGGAAGCCAGTTCATTCGTCTGATTGAGGACAGAACCCAAACTGCCTGCGAGTGTGAGCACCAGGACTGTGTGGGAAAGCTGTGTTGAAAACACAGTGGGTTAGCTCAGAGAGAAAGCCATGGCAGTGAGCAGAAGGACTGGGTGTTTTGTGGTCTCAGACTGTGGAGGGCCATTTGCAGATTTTGGGGTGATTTTTATAGTTTTGTTCTATAAAATAGTTGTATTTTTCTTCATTACAAGTTCTTGGGATTGCTCACTGTATACACAGCTGAAGAGGACTCAGGTATTCTGAAGGACTTCAGGTTACAAAGAGTGATGGGCCCAGTCCCAGTTGGGAAGTGGTGGGGAATGGTGTCTCCAGCTGTGCCTGGGCCCTGTGGCTGCACAGGCTTCTATAGGCTCCTCTGCCTGGGCCCTCTTTTGCAGTCCCTGCTGCAGGCTCCAGAAGCATTCTGTAGTCCTGTCCCTGTTAGAGGAGGCTCTGGCTTCCTGCTGCTTTTGGAGCCCATTTGAGGCCCTGCTGCATTTGGTGAAACTGTTGTGTGTGTATGTGCATTCGTTTTGTTGCATAATTGAATTAATATGTGGTTTTTTTTTAGCAACATAATTAAATTAATATGTGTTTTTTAAAATGTTAGCTTGCTCACTGCCCTTTCTAGATGAGGACTTTTTTATTCTGAGATAAGCTCTTTTACATATATAGATATTTTATTGTTAAAATGCTCTTTTATGAAATTATGGTAATAGATGGTAGTTCTTTTTTATCACTGGCAAAATTAGAAGTTGCTAACTTTGAGCTGGGTGTAGTGGCTCATGCCTGTAATCCCAGTACTTTGGGAGGCGGAGGTGGGTGAATTATTTGAGGTCAGGAGTTCGAGACCAGCCTGGCCAACATGGTGAAACCCCATCTCTGCTAAAAATACAAAAATTAGGTGGACGTTGATGCCTGTAATCCCAGCTACTCCGGAGGCTGAGGCAGGGGAATTGCTTGAACCTGGGAGACAGAGGTTACAGTGAGCCGAGATCATGCCACTGCACTCCAGCCTGGGAAATAGAGAGCAAGACTCCCTCTTAAAAAAAAAAAGATTGGCACGTCTGGTCTGAAATGTTGTAATTTCATTGATGCAGATGTCTGGGACCTCTTGTCCTACCTGTCAAAGCTGTGGGATTCTAGAATCTCACTTGGACCTGGGAGGCCCCCAGAGCTCACGCTGATAAGGGCCTCCTCGGTGAGGGGATCAGTGGTGGAGTGCAGTAGTCAGAGCGAGGTGGTTAGCAGAGTGATGACCACAAGCCCAGCCTTGGTCCCTGGCCCCTGTCACACATCCCATTCCTGGACTTCTGTCATGGTTCCTTTTCTCCTGCTGAGCCCCTGGAGTGGCAGGGAGGGCCTGGAGAACACAGCAGGCTGGGGGAATGTGTGCTGTCTGTTTTTTCACATATCTGTGTTTATTTAAATATAAGGGCGAGCTTTCAGTTCCTGTCTCAGTTGTAGGCAGCTCCAGGCAGAGGTGGCACACGGATCAGGTGTGTCTGGGACTCCTGGTCCCTGCTAGTGGTGCTCCCTGCAGTCAGGGTGCCCGCCCTTCTGGAGAGGCTCAGAAACGAGACCAGGAAGGCTACTGAGTTTGAAGGACAGTCTTGGGAACCCCCAAACAGCAGCAGTTGGGAATTGAAACACGGTAACATAGGTATAAAGAGTATGTGGGCCTGGGCCGCCAGAGAACACAGGTGGGAGGACGGAGAAACTTCCCTTCCCTGTCCTGGGCTTTCCTGGCCTTGGCATGCTTGACATTTGGGCTGGGTGATTCTTTTTCCCCAGGACTTTCTTGTGCATTGTGGGCTGTTTAGCAACATCCCTGGCCTCTACCCGCTGATGCCAGCCAGCAGCACACACATACGACCACCCCCTGTGATAATCGGAAGTGTCTCCACACAGTGCCAGATGTTCCAGGGGCAAAACTGGCCCCTTTGGGAACTACCGATCTACTCTGGTGCTTCTCAAACTTTCATGTGCTTGTGAATGCCCTGAGAATGTGTTTAAAAAGAAGATTTTTTTTTATTTTGGAGACGGGGTCTCACTCTGTCATCCAGGCTAGAGTGCAGCGGTGCAATCTCGACTTATTGCAGCCTCTATCTCCTGGGTTCAAGTGATTCTCCCACCTCAGCCTCCTGAGTAGCTGAGATTATAGCTACCACCATGCCTGGCTAATTTTTGTAGTTTTGAGTAGAGATAGGGTTTCACCATGTTGGCCAAGCTGGTCTCAAACTCCTGACCTCAAGTGATGTACCTTGTCCCCCCAAAGTGCTGGGATTATAGGCATGAGCCACCGTGCCCAGCCTAGATTCTTTTTTTTTTTTTTTGAGATGAAGTCTCACCCTGTCACCCAGGCTAGAGTACAGTGGTGTGATCTTGGCTCACTGCAGCCTCCACCTCCCGGGTTCAAGCGACTCTCCTACCTCAGCCTCCTGGGTACCTGGGACTACAGGTGTGTGCCACCATACCCAGCTAATTTTTATATTTTTAGTAGAGATGGGGTCTCCCCATGTTGGCCATGCTGATCTTGAACTCCTGGCCTCAAGTGATCCATGAGCCTTGACCTCCCAAAGTGCTGGGATTACAAGCATGAGCCACCATGCCCGACCTAAAGAGAAGATTGTGATTCAGTCGGTCTGGGTGTAGCCTGAGACTCTGCATTTAAGTGCCGGGAGATGCTGTGCCGCTGCACTACAAAGCTCTGGGCCACATGAAGAGTCAGTGACTCTGCCTTTTCCTCCAGCTAAGCAGGTCGTATCCAAAGGCTGGCTCTGGAACTGTTTAGCAAGTCTCTGGGGCCCTTTGAGACTCAGCTCACCTGTAATCACTAGCCCTGTGTGGTAGGCCCACTTCTGAGAGGCCCCCAGATTCCAGGCTCCTGGTGCACACTCACCTTCTCTACTGTCTCTCAAGCATTCAGTCAAATACTGACTAGGTATTGTAGCTGTGGGATTTTGCAGATATAGTTAAGATCTCAGGTCTGTTGACCTTAAGATAGAGATTACCTGGGTGGGCTTGATCTACTCCTGTGAGCCCTCGAAGTCTGAGTCCAGGTGTCTGAGGCAGAGCAGTCAGAGACATGGCAGGAGAGGGTTTGATGAGGGAGATTGGTCGTGGTTGACTTTGGAGATGGAGAGGGCCACATGGCAAGGGATGTGGGTATCTTCTAGGAGTTGACAGCTGTATTGGGCTGGCACCTGGTAGGGAAGGAGACCTCGTTCTCCATCCCTGTGAGCTTGTGAGAGGATCCTGAGCTCCACATGAGAACACGTCCTGGCTCACTGCATTGATTTTTAGCCTGGGAGACCCTGATCAGAGAACGCAGCCACCTGTGTATGAACTTCTGACCCACAGAGCCATTGGCTGGTAAATAAATAGGTGGCATTCGAGGCCATTGAGTTCACTAATATGCTTTATGTCATCTCAAGAGATGACCTCTTCCTCCTCCCAGGCTTTTTCACCTTCCTATCACCTGTTCCTCTCTCATTCCCCAGCCTGGGGCCCAGTGGCTGGGCAACACCAAGACTTAGCCTGGGCCCTGCGGGAACGAGTGCTCAGGGAGTGTGTCTGTTGCATGGAGTCACTCACCTTGTTTGATACAGTCACTGAGGATTCTTTTGTTATTTGGGTGTGACCTGCGCAGTTGGAGGAAAGAGCAGAGCAGATCCGTTCCAAGTCCCACCTCATCCAGGTGGAGCGGGAGAAGATGCAGATGGAGCTGAGTCACAAGAGGGCTTGAGTGGAGCTGGAGAGAGCAGCCAGCACCAGTGCCAGGAACTATGAGGTGGGTTCAGGTGGGGCGAGAGTTGGCCCAGCCAGCCCCAGGAAGCAAGGGCACTGTATGGTAACTGCCAGGCTGTAAGAAATCAGATCCCAGCCCCTGGGAGCAAGGGGGCTGTGCAGAGTACCTACCAGGCTGTAAGAAATCAGATCCCAGCCCCTGGGAGCAAGGGGGCTGTGCACGGTACCTGTCAGGCTATGAGAAATCCAGAACCCAGCCGGCTGGAAGCCTGACATGCCCTGTGCCACGGTTGCCAGGACATTCCTTCTGAGGCCACTCATGCCGGGGGCCAGGTATAAGTTATGCTTGATGTCCTAGAGAAGGGTGGCATGAAATGGGGACAATTGCGAAGGGTGGCCCCTTGCTATGTCTGTTCAGTGAGGCTGCGGCACTGGCATACAAACCTCCTGGTTTCCTCTTCCCTCTGGAAGAACTGCAAGGTAGGTCTGGCAGAAATGCCGAGTGGTTTAGGAGTGACAGGCTTAGGAGCTCACGGGGTGGAATGGGGTCTTGGGTCCATGCTAGGCCTTTGGGTTGGAGGGCTGTAGCAAAGAGTGCCGGCCTCTGTGGCAGATGGATGTTGCTCCTGGCTTGCCCAGGGCAGTAGGGAAAGCTCCTTGTCCTTGGGGAGGGAATTAGGTTTCCACCGAATGTGCGGATCTCCTCTGCTTTGACTAACAGCACTTTGCCAGGGTTTCAGTAAGTGCTGATCAGCTGTGGGTGCTGCCAAGGCTCAGGCAGAGCATTAGACGGAGATTCTCCCTGGCCTCTGTGCCCTTTCTTGCTGGTGGATGTGTCTAGCCCCTCCCCCTGCCGACCTCATGCAGTTTATTCACGCACACTCCTAGGCCCTAGAAAAATAAATAGCTCACGTATTCTGGGGTGTGATGCTTTTTGGATTCCTTGTCCCTGGCCCGCAGATCCTGGCTGCGGTGTGTTGTGTGGGCTTAGTGAGCCCAAGACACTGCCGGGCTGGGTGCCGCTGCCTCTGGGGTGGCTCCCATGCTGCTTTGAGAGCTGTTTTCCCTGAGAGGTTGGGGCTTTTGCTCATGGCCTGGGTGGGTCCTAGGAGGGACAGTCCTGGTGGAATTGGTGGGAGAGGGAGGGAGAGGACACAGGAATCTCCCTGACTATTGAGGTTCCCTGGTTAGGGGTGGAGAGGTGGCACCAGTTTAGTGGCACCATTAGTCTGGAGGCAGCATGCTCATGGCATGTCTCTGGCTCTAGAGCAGGAGGATGGAGTGTGCAGCCGTTTGAGTTTCTCTGGGCCAAGAGTCCCTGAGGACAGGGCCCACCTGTTCTCCATCATGTGGCACATCTTATGGCACCTTATGGATGCACACAAATGTTTGATTGAGGGAAGGGTCACTGTGGGGTCTCCGTAGCCCTTTCTTGGGGAAATCCAAGGATGCAGGTGACTGAGCTCACACCCGGAGCTCCCTGCTGAGCTCCAGCCACCTTCTAACAGGCCTTTCCTTCCTTGCCCACAGACAAGCTGCATGAGACCCCAAGAACAGTCAGAACCAGTAGTTTTCCAATTGTTCCTTGGAGTTCCACCTGGAAATACCTATTAGGGGGTGAAACCTAAGTGTCTGAAGTCCAGGGACCTGCTGGCTGCCCTGTCTGCACTAGGACTGGCAGCACCAGGCCCAGTGCCACATTTGGCTTGTGACAGTGCTCAGCGGAGCCCTGCGACAACCCCGGCTTTCTTCTTGTTGTGCATCACAGAAGGGTTTCTTGGTTGTGGTGAGACAGCTCTTATAGCTCACAAGGGCTGGAGTCCCTCTGAGATGTGGGTCAGCCATCAGAAGGTGGCCACCCTCTGTCACACCTCTCCTAGGTTTTGGGCTGGAGTACCCTGGACAAGGGTAGCACAAACACGTACTCTGCCCTGGGCTCTATGAGTGCTTGGCACTTCCTGAGGAAGGCAGGGCGAGATGGCCCGGAGTGCTGGGCTCCACCAGGACTCACCGTCTTCACCTCCCGGGACTTCGGTACCTGGCAGTGAACTCAGCAGGGCCTGTGGGTCATTAGAGTCAGGAGATCTGAGCATGGTTCTTGGTTCTGTCCCATCCTAACCAGCGAGAGCCACATGGCCTCCCTAAGGCCAGTCCTGCGGGGTGGCTCTGGAGGTTTGTGTGAGATGCTGTGCATATGTGGCAGAGTTGAGCCCAGTGTAAACTGCTTCTGTCTGCAGCCTCCTGTCCAGGCCACCTGTCTCTGCCCCTGTCATCTGCTTGCTGGGGGAGTGCCAGCTCATTTTAGTGCGGCCAGAGTGTGCTTAATCAGGACCTGCTGGTGCTGCAGAGCTCAGCTTCTCTACAAGGTCCATTCTGAATTTCACATTTCCCATGCTCCCTTTCCCTGTAGAGGCAACTGCTGAGCAGATGGTGTGACGAGTGTGTGTGTGATCTGTGCCAAGTGCCCTTCCTGGGAGACCTGACCTCTCACAGTGCTCACGTCATGGTGTTTCAGTGGGGGCGCCAATGCTGGAGCTGGGTCCCAGGTCCTGTCCTGGCTCTGCCGCTGACTTGGCTGGCGGGTCCTGCTTGGCTCTTTTCTGCGCCTCGGTGGCCTGTTCTGAGAGAGGCGTGGGGGTGAGGGCTCCCCGCTGACCCTCCCATCGGTGGCATGTGGCATCTTACTCTTGCTCTCTTGACAGCGCGAGGTTGACCGCAACCAGGAGCTCCTGACGCGCATCCGGCAGCTTCAGGAGCGTGAGGCCGGCGCAGAGGAGAAGATACAGGAGCAGCTGGAGCGCAGTAGGCAGTGTCAGCAGAACCTGGACGCTACCAGCAAGAGACTGCGTGAGAAAGAGGACAGCCTGGCTCAGGCTGGCGAGGTGAGTGGGGCCTCTGCTGGGCTGGGTCCGCCCTCCTGAAGCTGTGTTCCCTAGAGGGAATGCATGCTCTTGTTTGCCTCTGCAGTGCCACCTTTGTGTTTTTAGTTGTGTTTCCCACATGGGCAGCTGTGTTTTTTGCATAGCTGTAATCAGTAGAAGTATTAATTTTCCATTCTGTAGTTTTTCAGTTAAAAAGTTGAGCGTTTGGTCCAGGCATGGTGGCTCACGCCTGTAATCCCAGCACTCTGGGAGGCTGAGGCGGGTGGATCACCCGGTCAGGAGTTCAAGACCAGCCTGACCAACATGGTCAGGCTCCTGAGAAGCCGCTCTTGCCATCTCTACAAAAAATACAAAAATTAGCCGGGTGTGATGGTGGGCACCTGTAATCCCAGCTACTCAGGAGGCGGAGGTAGGAGAATTGCTTGAACCTAGGAGGTGGAGGTTGTAGTGAGCTAAGATCATGCCATTGCACTCCAGCCTGGGTGACAGTGCGAGATTCTCTCTCAAAAAAAAAATGAGCACTTTTTTTCTTCTGTAATTATGAATTTTAATGGTTGACGAATCTGCTTTTTTGTCATTTGTGAATGTTCAGTGTGTTTGCGTTCACTCGTCCTATCTATGTGGCAGGTAGCCCATCCTCTAGCCCTCGCTTCTGTTGACTTTGGACAGACCCCTGGGTTTGGGTTATAAGGTCCCCAGCGATGGCAGTCTCTGTGGCGGTTGCTCTTAGAGCCCTAGTTGAGGGCTCCAGTTTCCCTGCAGCCTTTCCTGTCGTGGATGGTGGTCTTTTCTGGAAATAGGTGTTGTTTTTTCAGGAGGCTTAAATAGGCATGTCTGGATTTGCATTTCTTTGACTGTCGGCAAGGTCTGCAGGCATCCGATGGCATCAGAGAATTGCCTCTGAACTGGAGCCAGTGTGAACTGCAGTCTGTGTGAAGGTTGCGTTAGTTTTAGAAACAGCCCGGACATGGGTGCTGGTGGAAACTGGAATCATCTGACCTCTCCTGTCCCTATTCTGTGGTGATCAAGATCGCTGGTGCCAAAAGGAAACATGAAAATCTGCTGGTGTGGGGGTAGAGGTGTGGGGGTCCTGGTGGGGTGGACGTGCAGTGCCTCGTGCACATTCTCCATCTGCAGCTCTTCTGGAGGGGTCCAGAAGCTGGTTGTGGTGGTTTTTCTGGGCAGGGCTAGGGAGGCATGTTCAGGTTGTTCCCCCATCTGCCTCTGGAGGGAATGTTGGCAGGAGAGGAGGTGTGATTGGCTCCTGAGAAGCCGCTCTTGCCTTGCCTTGCTCTGGGTTTCAGGCCCTCTGTGCTGGGCTATGCTGGAGGCAGGTCAGGGATTCCATGGGGAAGGGTGAGTTGTGCCCAGCACTCCATGAGGGGCAGAGGAGCAGGAGACAGTAGGAGCTGCAGGGCGGTGCCCAGTGGGGTGGGGTGCAGTGAGAGGAAGCTTGTCACGTGCAGGGCCCTGTCACGTCTAAGCCAAGGTGGCAGCTCCTCAGGAAAGCCTTCCCTGCTCACTAGGCCTTGGCTTCCTTCTCTGGTGACAGGGCCCTGACTGTCACCCTCCTTACTCTGGAATTATCTTATGTGCCTCTTCCTTGCCGACTGTCCTGCATCCCCTACAACACAGGTGCCCCTGTGGGCAGGTGGGCTCAGCTCTGCATCTGGCTCACCCCTGGCACCCGCTGTGTATTAAGACCTCTGGGAGGATGTGTTTATTGTTAGTATGTTTTCAATACCTTCCTTCTTTTTTGACTCCCAGGTTGGCCCCTCACTATTGTGGTGAAGTAAACCATACAGATTGTGGGTGTGCAGGGAGCACGCACAGCCCCACGTGGGCCTTCCCAGAGTGGCATTGGGTGGACAGCGGTGACGGGCTTCAGTGGCCCTGAGCTGGGCATGGGTTCTCTGGGACAGGGAAATGAGTGCTGTGGCCTCCTTGTTTGCGGAGGGTGCCGCCCAGCCAGGTCCCCCTAGGTTGTTTGCTGTGTGAGTTTGCCATTGTCCTGCCCTGGATGCGTGGTCCCCAGAGCTTACATCACCCCCATGTGTTTCCGTGTGTTAACTTACAGCGATGCTTCTCACTGTCCATCTGGCTTTTCACATTGGCTTGACCCGAGGACACCTAGGGTTTTCTGAGCTTTTCCAGGGGGTTAGGGTCCTCAGAAGGTTGCCCGTGGGGAATGATCAGGAGGAAGTGTGGCGGTTTGGTTGTGTTGCATTTGGGTTCCGTGATGTCAGGCAGACCTGCACCTGCTGTCCTGGAAGCTGCTGGAGGGACTGCTGGGTTTGCTCAGGGACCACCTCCCCAGGTGTCTCCTTCCTGTGCCAAGCACTCCCCTTCCAAGCACATGGCCTGCCAGCAGGTACTGCTCAGCCCTCTGCAGAGCCTCCATCTTTGTCCTTTTGGTTGGCCATTGCCTTACCGTTGTTTGAAGGTGATGTCATTAGCAAACAGCCGACACAGTAGCATGGGGGTGGCTAGGGAGGGATGCCAACAGCCATGTTTGGAGGGAAGGCCAAAATGATGGTGTGGCAGACACCTGGATGCTTGGTGGGACTTTGGGAGTGTGGGGCACTGGCACAGAGACTGCCAGGTGCCAGGCCTGAGAGTCCAGGCCCATCTTGGCTGGTGGGGGCTTTTGCTTCTGAAGCCTCCTCACCAAGCCTCCTTTCCAGGGGCCCTGGCTGGGGCCTGGGTGTTTTCCGTCAGCTCTTGGGTGGCCTGTGGCAGACACTGAGCTGCGCTGTTCTGGAGCGCCTGGAGAAGGGTGGGCCCTGCATGTCAGTGTCTGCTGGGTGCATGTCCTCCTGGAGGAGGTGACTTTGCCCCCTGGCCCCCTGCTCCCCTGCTCTCCTGACCCCCCACCCCTCTGCCTTTCTTCCCTCTGCCCCCTGCCCCTCTGCCCCTCTGTCCCCCTGCCCCCTGCCCCTCTGTACCCCTGCCTCTCTATTCCTCTGCCCCCTCCCCCCTGCCTCTCTGCCCCCTGCCCCCGTGCCCCTCTGCCTCCTGTCTCCCTGCTCCTCTGCCCCCTGCCCTGCTCATGGTCTTGGCTTACTAAGCCGCTCTCTGGCCCCCTCTGCTTTCAGACCATCAACACACTGAAGGGGAGGATCTCGGAACTGCAATGGAAGATGATGGCTCAGGAGATGTGGGTGAAGCACCTGGAGTCGGAGAAGCAGGAGCTGCAGGAGCAGCTGGACCTGAAGCACAAGTGGGTGGGGGCCAGGGTGTAGGGTTAGGGCGGGAGCTGGCAGGGGTTGGGTCATGGGTTGGGGTGTGGGGCCTGCCTCTCTCCTGGTGGCTGGGTGGGATGTGGATGCACTCCCAGATGCTGTCCTAATTCACAGACAGTCAAGAGGGGCAGACACTGAGGCCCCTGGAGCCAGGACCATGAGCCCAGAAAGTGTCCTCATGTCCCTAGAGCAGAGTGAGGGCAGCAACTTCCTTGCATTCCTTCCTGGAGAGGGCTCCTGCAGATTTTACTGTATTTTTTGAGACAGGGTCTCACTCTGTCATCCAGTCTAGAGTGTAGTGGCGCAATCATGGCTCACTGAAGCCTCGACCTCCTGGGGTCAAGTGATCCTCCTGTCTCAGCCTCCAGAGTAGCTGGGACTGCAGGTATATGCACTACACCTGGCCAATTTTTTGAGATGGAGCCTCACTCTGTCACCCTGGCTCGAGTGCAGCGGCACCAACTTGGCTCACCACAACCTCTGCCTCCTGGGTTCAGTGATTCTCCTGCCTCAGCTTCCTCAGTAGCTGGGATTACAGGCACCTGCCACCATGCCTGGCTAATTTTGCAATTGGCTAATTTTACAAAATGTTTCGTAGAGATGGGGGTCTCACTTTGTCACCCAGGCTGGTCTTGAGCTCCTGGCCTCAAGTGATTCTCCTGCCTCATCCTCCTAGAGTGCTGGGATTACAGGTGTGAGCCACTGTGCCCTATTCAGGGCTAGATTTAAAGGGTAGCACCATGTGCCTTGGAGGTGCAGGGGATGTGGCTGGGAAGGGATGTCCAGGCACAGGGCTGGGCTCAGCCAAGGTACAGACATGAGAGCCTTGTATGGAGGTGCGGTCTGCACCTCCTAAGATGCCCAGCACCATGGGCATCTCCTACCCAGCATTTAGGAGATGCCCAGCACCGGGGCCATCTCCTACCCAGCATTTAGGAGATGCCCAGCACCATGGGCATCTCCTAATGAGTTTGACCTTTCCCTCGGCAGATGTGGTTTTAGGAGAGTTCTAGTTTCGTAGTAGAGAGGAGAGGTCATTTCTGGGCGGGGCTCTGCCACAACTGCACCAGGGCTGCGGGTTGCGGCCGGCAGGTGAAAGTGTGGGTGCCGCTGCTGTCCAGGACCTTGCAGGTGGCTTGGGCTCACTATGCACTCTGTGCGGATGAGCAGACTGAGGCCTCAGAGCCAGCCAGCAGGGGCTGGGACCCAGGACGTTGGGGTACCCATGCAGTGGGACTGTGTGTGGGGGGGGTCTGTGCAGGTGGGGGTCCTGAACTTTGGGGTGGGAGTGAGAGTGTGTGGGTCTGTGCTGGAGTGGATCTCAGGCTGAAGAGAATTGTTGGCCTTGCCACATGCCTGTTTCTGTATGTGATGTATTTTTTTTTAATAGAAAATGGCAGGAAGCCAGTCAGAAAATCCAGGAACTCCAGGCCAGCCAAGAAGCGAGAGAGCAGACCAAGAGCAGCAGATTAAGGTGAGTTGCTTGTGTCAGGTGCCTTGTGGACATCCCAGGCTAGAGTGCAGTGGCACATTCTCGGCTCATTGCAACCTCCGCCTCCTGGGTTCAAGCGATTCTCCTGCCTCAGCCTCCCGAGTAGCTGAGATTACCAGCTAATTTTTGTATTTTTAGTAGAGACAGGGTTTCACCATGTTAGCCAGGATGGTCTCGATCTCTTGACCTCGTGATCTGCCTGCCTCAGCCTCCCAAAGTGCTGGGATGACAGGCGTGAGCCACCGCGCCTGGCCTGTTTTGGTTTTTCTTTGCACATTGCTGGGCATGGAGTCTCTGGTTTGCCTGTGCTGCTTTGTGTGGTGCACAGTGGCTTCTCATCTGTAAGGCGGCTGGAGTTTTCAGGCTTAATTCTTCAGTGCATATGGCTGGGAGTGTGAGCTGTAAGCAGACCTAGAGTTTTTTCTCTTTCTTCCCTCCCTCTCCTCCTTCCCTCCCTCCTGTCCAGATGATTTTTTGGCGTATGAAAGTAACGTGTTCACTGTGGACACACTAGGGCATAGAGAAGATCCTGTGGCCAGTTTCTTTGGTTTGAGTCCCTTCTCTTGGCTCTAGAGAAAAGGAGGACTCTGTTTCACACATAACTTGTACATATTTCACTTTGTTTTCCTTCCTCAAGGTTAAGACTAGATTTGATTTAGTCACAGAAATGTGGGTGTACTTGCTGATTCATGAGCAGGTGGAAGCCTCCCAGGGCAGTCTTTTTTTTTTTTTTTTGAGATGGAGTTTCGCTTTTGTTACCCAGTCTGGAGTGCAATGGTGCGATCTTGGCTCACCGCAACCTCTGCCTCCTGGGTTCAGGCAATTCCCCTGCCTCAGCCTCCTGAGTAGCTGGGATTACAGGCACATGCCACCGTGCCCAGTTAATTTTTTGCATTTTTAGTAGAGATGGGGTTTCACCATGTTGACCAGGATGGTCTCGATCTCCTGACCTTTTGATCCAACCGCCTTGGCCTCCCAAAGTGCTGGGATTACAGGCTTGAGCCACCACACCTGGCATTCTTTTTTCTTTTCTTCTTCTTTTTTTTTTTTTTTTTTTTTGAGACAGGGTCTTACTCCGTTGCCTAGGCCAGAATGCAGTGGTGCAATCATGGCTCACACTGCAGCTTTGACCTCCCAGGCTCAGGCGATCCTCTCACCTCAGCCTCCCGAGTAGCTGGGACTACAAAATTAGCCAGTGAGCCACCATGCCTGGCTAATTTTGTATTTTTTGTAGAGGCGGGGTTTTGCCGTCTTTCCCAGGGTGGTCTCCAACCCCTGAGCTCAAGTGATCCTCTAGCCTTGGCCTCCCGAAGTTCTAGGATTACAGGCATGAGCCATGGTGCCTGACCACCATGATTTTTTTGAAGAAAAGGATGTACCCCCAGTGTTGACTTTGTAGTATGAAAGAATGAGTGTGTCTGGCTGAGGATGGGACTTGCTGAGCTAGCACATGCTGAGCTAGCACACAGGAGAGGGAGGCTCCCCTTTTCTATTTTTTTTTTTTTTTTTTGAGATGGAGTCTTGCTCTGTCGCCCAGGCTGGAGTACAGTGGCATGATCTTGGCTCACTGCAACTTCTGCCTCCCAGGTTCAAGCGATTCTCCTGCCTCAGCCTCCCTAGTAGCTGGGACTAACAGGTGTGCGCCACCACGCCCAGCTAATTTTTTGTATTTTTAGTAGAGACAGGGTTTCACTTTGTTAGCCAGGGTGGTCTCGATCTTGTGGCCTCATGATCTGCCAGCCTTGGCCTCCCAAAGTGCTGGGATTACGGGTGTGAGCCACCATGCCTGGCCTCTACTTTTCAATTTATTTTATTTTTGTAGAGATAGGGTCTCACCATATTGCCCAGGCTGGTCCTGAACTCCAGGGCTCAAGTGATCCTCCCTCCTCAGCCTCCCAAAGCCCGGGATTACAGGGGCGTGCCACTGTGCCTGGCCAAGGTTCACCTTTTGAGCAGCCGTTCTCATTGGTCATTTCCCCTTTCTCCTGCAGACCTGCCAACGCCCCAGGCCATCGAGCCCCAGGCCATTGTGCCGCGGGCCCCAGCCCCCAGTCGAATGCAGATGCCACAGGGGAACCTGCTGCTGCTGTCCCACAGCCTGCAGGAGCTGCTGGCCAGGGACACCGTGCAGGTAGAGCTCATTCCGGAGAAGAAGGGTCTCTTCCTGAAGCATGCGGAGTATGAGGTTTCCAGCCAGGTAACTAGCAAATCGTGTGTGTGTTGGGGGAGGAGGGGAGAAAGGGTCACATCTCAAAACCTCCAGGCAGGGGCGGTGCGACAGAAGAAGGCTGAGTCTGTGCGCCTGGCTTACAGGCGAGATCCAGAACTTGCAGCAGAGTCAGGCTGCGGAGCAGACTTTTCCACGCATCTGCTCCCTGCACCTCACTCTGGCCCAGCCACACCCGCACCTGGCCCAGTTCGTCCTCCCCTCCACTCTGCTCTGGAGTCCTGTTTCTTAGTAATCTGTGGATGGTCCGCAGAGCACAAAGCAGGATCCATGCTAGCTTAGCTTTGTAATGCTGGGGAACCCCCAAGGATTAGAATGTCAGCCCCATCTAATGCAGACCCCAAACAGTGAATCAAACTTGCATGGCAGGATCAATATGTGTCACTCTAATCCCCTTTAATAACACATCCCTCCTCTTGCTGGGTACTTTGATACTGGGCAAATCAGACGCAGACACTGAGTACTTGATGCCTGTCTGGCGTTGGAATCATGGCTCTCTCTGTCCTTTGCTTGTTATCTCAGTTCCCTTAGGACAGATTCTGATAAGAGTTTTCATTGTTCGTCCTGGGCATTGAGTAACTGATGAGCCAACACTGTCCTTGGGAGCTGCGGAGTCAGCAGGGATTGGGGGATTCGCACAGAGCAGAGCCCACTCCTGTGTGGGAGAGGGTGGCCCCAGCCCAGCTCCGGTTGGATAGCACTACCAGGGGTTTGTTTGAAAAGCGTCATGAGCTTTTCAAAGCTCGAAATGGTCCTGGGTAAAAGGTGTGTCTTTTTGTTTGTTTGTGTTTATTTTTATTTATTTATTTTTTGAGACAGTGTGTCACTCTGTTGCCCAGGCTGGAGTACAGTGGTGCAATCTTGGCTCACTACAACCTCCGCCTCTGTGTTCAAGCAGTTCTTTTGCCTTAGCTTCCCAAGTAGCTGGGATTACAGGCATGTGCCACCAGGCCTGGCTAATTTTTGTAATTTTAGTAGAGATGGGGTTTCACCATATTGGTCAGGCTGGTCTTGAACTCCTGACCTTGTGATCCTCCCACCTCGGTCTCCCAAAGTGCTGGAATTACAGGCAAGAGGCACTGCGCTCAGCTGTTTTTTTTTTTTTTTTTTTTTGAGATGGAGTTTCGCTCTTGTCACCCAGGCTGGAGTGCAATGGCGCGATCTCAGCTCACTGCAACTTCTGCCTCCTGGGTTCAGGCAATTCTCCTGCCTCAGCCACCTGAGTAGTAGGCATGCACCACCATGCCCAGCTAATTTTTTGTATTTTTAGTAGAGACAGGGTTTCACCATGTTGACCAGGATGGTCTCGATGTCTTGACTTCGTGATCCACCCGCCTTGGCCTCCCAAGCTGTTTGTTTTTAAACAGACAGGGTCTTGTTCTGTTGCCCAGCCTGGAGTGCTGTGGCACAATTATAGCTCACTGTAGCCTCAACCTCCCGGGCTCAGACAATCCTCCCACCTCAGTTTCCTAAGTAGCTGGAACCATAGGTGTATGCCACCACACCCAGCGAATTTTTAAATTTTGTGTAGAGATGGGATCTTGCTATGTTGTCCAGGCTGGTCTTGAACTCCTGGGCACAAGCAGTCCTCCCACCTTGGCTTCCCAAAGTGCTGGGATTACAGGAAAGAGCCATCATGTCCAAACTTGCTTTTTTTAAAAAAAAAATTAAAAATGGAGGCCTGCTATGTTGTCTCAACTGTTCTCGAACTCCTGGCTCAAGCATTCCTCTCATATTGGCCTGCCAAAGTGCTGGACTCACAAGCATGAGCCTCCATACCTGGCCTTAAGGACGAGCGAGCAGGTCTCCCTTCCCTGCCATCTGCTCTGCTCTGCCTCATTGTGTTTCAGAGCCTGTGGCCACACGTTTCCAATGGTTGTCTGCGGCTAGCAAAGGATGAAGGGGATCAGAGAGGGGAGGATTCCCTTTGAGGACCATGTCAAAGCTGCCTTGCTGCCTAGCATTGCCATGGTTCCTGGCCCTCTGGGCCACAGTTAGGGATGTGGATCAGCTGGCGGGATGCTACGGGGGAGCGGAGCGAGCTAGCCCTTCCTTCTGGGGCCTGGCAGCCTTTGGGGAGGCAGCTCTGTGTGTGTGAGACATGCTGTTCCTTGTTAGGGAGCTAGCAGCTGGCCTTTCTGCCAGTCTTACTAAGCTGCCTGTCCCTTATGTAAATTAATCACCATGTAAGAAACATTGTTAAGGGGGAAATTTGATCATCCCCTGATGCTGTCACGGGCCAGCCTGCCAGCCACCAACCAGGTGGGAAACCTCTGCCAGGTGCGTTCTCCAGTCATGTGCCTGCTCATCCTCCATGCTGGAGCCTGGGAAATGCAACGTGAAGCAGATGTGTGCTGAGTGGAGGTGGGGACACTGTGCTTCATATGTTTAACTTTTTTTTTTTTTTTTTGAGATAGTCTCACTCTGTCACCCAGGCTGGAGTGCTGTGGCGTGATCTCAGCTCACTACAACCTCTGCCTCCTGAGTTAAGGTGATTTTCCTGCCTCAGCTTCCCAAGTTGCTGAGATTACAGGTGCCGGCCACCACACCTGGCTAATTTTTTTTGTTTTTAGTAGAGATGGGGTTTCACCTGTTGGCTGGGCTGGTCTTAAACTCCTGACCTCACGTGATCCACCTGCCCTGGCCTCCCAAAGTCTTGGGATTACAGGCGTGAACCACCACACTGGGCCACACATGTTTAATTTTAAAGATAATAGTTTATGTGTGTTTCCTGGGTAAGCTCTTCATTAGGTCCAGATTAGGCTACTCAAGTGAATAGGATGCTAACCTTGTGGAGTCTGAAGTTGTATTCATGGTGGTGTTCACAATGCAGTTTGTAAGCAAATATGTTTGGATCAAGTGTTTGCTCTGTATTAATTTATAATCAGCGCCTGGTCTGTTCTAAGAGAGTTGGGGCTACTTCAGGAGACAACAGTGATGCTTGCAGTAGCATGAATGAAGTGAAGAATGTGTTATTCTTATCCATTACCTTTTTTTTTTCCCTCTGTCACTGCCAGGCTGGAGTGCAGTGGTGCCATCTCAGCCCACTGCAACATCTTTCTCCTGGTTCCAGTGACTTTTGTGCCCCAGTGTCCTGAGTAGCTGGAATTACAGGCATGCACCACCAAGCCTGGCTAATTTTTTATTTTTATTAGGGATGGGGTTTCACTATGTTGGCCAGGCTGGTCTCGAACTCCTGACCTCAGGTGATCCGCCCACCTTGGCCTCCCAAAGTGCTGGGATTACAGGCATGAGCGCCCAGCCTAAGAGCTATACAAAATTTGAAAGTGACATTGCCATAGATGAAGGCATTACAGGGTTCCTCCTTTAGTAGATGCCTGGTGAGAGAAGATGCGCTCGGTGCTGTTGTTTTCCAGGTCCTGTTGAGGGAAGTGATGAAGCCGCACAGTTTCCACTGTCGGATGTAAGCACCAAGCCCTTCTCTTGCAGCGCTTCAAGTCCTCCGTGTACAGACGGTACAACGACTTTGTGGTCTTCCAGGAGATGCTCCTGCACAAGTTCCCCTACCGGATGGTGCCTGCCCTGCCACCCAAGAGGATGCTGGGAGGTAAAGCTTGGTGTGCTGCCCATTGGGGGCGGGGGGAGCCAGCCCACCTCCTGGACCCAGTGGTCATGGCTCGGGAATTGACCCCCTGTTGTACAGGGTAGGTACAGAGCTGTGGGGAAGCTCAAGCCTTTTGTCATCTGGGGCAGAGCTATGGCTTGAGCTCAGCCTTGGTGTAGGCTGGGAGACTGGCACCTGGCACCCTGGGCTCACGGGAGCCTTTGGCTGGATGACTGACATGTGGAGAAGGCCTTGCTGTGCAGTTGTGAAACAGAACCCCAGTTCCCCTCTCTAGAGCACAGTGACCAGGGCTCCCCAGAGCTCCCGAGAGGGCTGCCAGGAACACTGTGTGCTCACCTGGCTGGCATTGCTCTGTCTGCATCTGCAAAGCCATGGGAGCCTGAGCCATGGGCACCACGGGAACGCCCCGTGACCTCACGGAAGAGAACAGACATTTTGCAAGCAGGAAGTCTAAGCTGTGTCTTGTAGGAGAGAAAAAACAGCACATAGCTGCCACACCTTCACCTCCCTGCCTGAAGATGGCCTCGGGCCAGTGGGAGACAGTAGATGACCTTGGAACCCCTCCGGGGCCTGCATACCCCAGGGCTACAGAGCACAGGGATGGCGGCTGCCAGCTCCAGTCTCACTGGTGGTCACTCCATCAGCCCTTTCCTCAAATTCTGAATAAAACATGCTGGGGAGGCGAGTGCTTAGAGCAGATCAGCTGGCTTTCCGCCATTCCCAACACTTCCACAGTCACCGTGTCCTGGACGGGATGCAGCATGGGAGCTAACACAGTGGCCAGTTCCCTGCATCTGAAATTGTGCGATGGTGCATAAATGCTTCTGCCTCTCGTGGGTCACTGAGCAAGCAGCCCAGAGCCTGATGATGTGATTTTCTCCCTGCCCCATGTGAACCCCCCAGAGCAGATCATTCTTATCACACTGAAGGGCACACAGGGTGCTCAGGGAAGCAGAGAACGGAGGATGCGACAGGGATGCCTGATACTGGCTCAAATCTGGGTATCCGAGTCCATGAGTGCTGGCTGGTGTTCGGCGCCTGGAAACTGCACACACGTACTGCGCCACTCGTGCTGACGTTTATGGAAGCGCAGCCTACTTGGAAGGAGCCTGCTACTCTTAAGCCAGGAGGTGGGCCTCAGCAACTGTATTGTTTGTTTTCTTTCTTTTATTCTGTTTTTTTTTAGAGACAGCGTTTTGCTGTGCTGGCCAGGCTGCTGTACAACTTTGTGACCTCAAGTGATCCACCCACATTGGCCTCCCAAGATGTTGAGCTTACAGGCATGAGCCACCGCACCCGGCTGTATTTCTTAATAACTTAAAAATAGTATTTAAAGGCCAGGAGCCAGTGGCTCACACCTGTAATCCCAGCACTTTGGGAGGCTGAGACTTTTGGATCACCTGAAGTTAGGAGTTCGAGACTAGCCTGACCAACATGGTGAAACCCCATCTCTACTAAAACTACAAAAATTAGCTGGGTGTGGTGGTGCATGCCTGTAATCCCAGCTACTTGGGAGACTGAGGCAGAAGAATCGCTTGAACCTAGGAGGTGGAGGTTACAATGAGCTGAGATTGTGCCACTATACTCTGGCCTGCGTGATGAGCGAGACTCTGTCTCAGAAAAAAAAAAGGTATTTAAATACCGTTTTTGTTTCTGTTCAGATTGAAATGTCCTGAATGCATCAATATATGTTTTTACTTTCCCTTTGGAGTGAAAATATTTAACCTGCATGGAAGCAATTAGTAATTGGATCCATTGTAGAGTGAGTTATAAGCACAGTGAATAGAAAATCTTGGCCGGGCATGGTGGCTCATGCCTGTAATCTCAGCACTTTGGGAGGCCGAGGCTGGATTACCTGAAGTCAGGAGTTTGAGACTAGCCTGACCAACATGGTGAAACCCCGTCTCTACTAAAAATACAAAGATTAGCCATGTGTGGTAGCACGTGCCTGTAATCCCAGCTACTCCAAAGGTAGGCAAAGGTTGCAGTGAGCTGAGATTGCGCCACTGCACTCCAGCCTGGATAATAAGAGCGAAACTCTGTCTCCAAAAAAAAAGGGACATCAAAAAGTCCAAGATGGTACCAGCAAGAAAAAATTAAAATTAAAAAAAGAAAAGAAAACCTGTGTTGCGTTAGTGTTGGAGCTAGCAAAACCCATTTTTTCCCTGGAGAGAAGTGCCAGGAAGGGGTTATGGAATGTATCTTTAATGGAGGTGATCAGAGTGACCACTCACTTGGTTCACAGGACTCTTGATGGAAAGGAGCAGATCTGTGGTTTTCCCTGGCAGCTCCTGGACCCAAGTGTGTATGGCTGGAGGCAGGGTTTGGGGGTGGGGCTCTTGCTCTGGGCCGCTTTTGCAGGCCCATTGTCTGGGTCGCACTGGGGGCCCAGCCAGTGCCCTCCACTAGGTGGTAGCTAGGCACTCTGACACCTCTAGGGAGAGCTTTGAGAACTCGCTCAGAGCGGAAGATGGGGGCTGGCACCCTGGACTCTGTCCAGTGACCCTGTGCACTCCTCCAGCTGACAGGGAGTTCATCGAGGCCAGGAGGAGAGCTCTGAAGCGCTTTGTCAACCTGGTGGCACGGCACCCCCTGTTCTCCGAGGATGTGGTTCTCAAGCTCTTCCTGTCCTTCAGTGGCTCGGTGAGTGCATCTGCCCCTCGCGTGTCCCTGTCCCGGGAGCCTCCGGAGCTGCTCTTTCCTCTCTCAGGTTTGGTTTCTTACCTCCTGGTCCCTTGTTTGGACGCCCAGCAGGAATGACATGGACAACGCTTCTTTCCTGTCCAGATAACAGCCTGAATGTGATTTTCAGAGGTGTCCCTGGTGTTGACTTCGCAGGGTTTTGTAAATCTACATAGAGATCCTGGGTCTCTTCAGTCACTTTGAGGTTTTAGGCTGGGTGGTTTGGAGGGTTTAGGGAGATGCGAGACTCCAGATGGGAAGAAGTGTTCACTTAAAATAAGGCCCTGTCTGACTAGAGCACTGAGAAAGCACTCTGAGCCTCCTTGTCAGAGCCACAGCACAGACCTGCATCTGGGAATCAACTTCTTGTACATGTGCTCAGTCAGACATCCAAGCGGAGTTCCTTCCTCCCAGCTGCTGCTGCACAGCCATAGTGAGTATCAAGAAGCTATAGCACCAGGTGTGGTGGCTCATGCCTGTAATCCCAGCACTTTAGGACGCTGAGGTGGGTAGATCACAAGGTCAGGAATTCAAGACCAGCCTGGCCAAGATGGTGAAACCCTGTTTCTACTAAAAATAAAAAAATTAGCTGGGTGTGGTGCGGGCACCTGTAATCCCAGCTATTCGGGAGGCTGAGGCAGAGAATTGCTTGAACCTAGGGGCAGAGGTTGCAGTGAACTAAGATCGTGCCATTGTACTCCAGCCTGGGTGACAGAGTGAAATTTCATTAAAAAAAAAAGAAGCTATAGCTCGGCTGGGCACACGGTGGCCCATGCCTCTAATCCCAGTGCTTTGAGAGGCTGAGGTGGGAAAATCCCTTGAGTCCAGGTGTTTGAAACCAGGCTGAGCAACATAGGGAGACTTCTCTACTAAAACAAAACAGAACTGAGGCCAGACATGGTGGTACACACCTTTAATCCCAGTCATTCGGAGGCTGAGGCTTGAGAATCGCTTCAACCCAGAAGGTCGAGCTTGCAGTGAGCTGTGATTGTGCCACTGCACTCCAGCCTGGGTGACAGAATGAGACCCTGTCTCAAAGGAAAACCCTGCAGCAAAGCTCCTGTTAGGATCCTGAGGAGGAGGCAGCTGCTAGCCCTCCAGGGAAGTTGGGTTCTGTGCTCCCTCTCCGCCTGTGCCTAGAGGACCCTTTCCCTGTATGGGGAGGGTGGGAGCTCCACTGGAATAGAGGTTTCCAGACTCTCTTCTATTTTAGGGAAACCCCTTCTTGAATGGGAACCTGAGGGCCTCTGCCCTTCTCCCTGCTGCAGGAAGACACCACCACTCCCAGGCTGACTTCACAGAAGTCTTGATTCCTTTTGTCTTCATTTCCCATGAAGGCAGAAGGGCCTTCGCCCTGTAGGAGGGTGGCCTGTCCCTGGGATGCCCCTAGGGATACCTGGAGCAGGTAGTAGGACCTTTTGAGCCCTGGGAGTGGAAACGTTCCTTTGGAAGGAGATCTGGATTGTCAGAGAGGAATGTGGCAGGACCTGAGTGGGGACTGAGGCTCTCAACAGAGGAGCCACGTGAGGAGGGGTGTGGTGGGTCACAGGTGGGTGACCCTCCCATTATAGGGGCAGGACGCTCCCTGTGGCCTTTCCATAGATAGCATGATCTGTCACTTCCTGGCTTCAGTTTTCTTGCTTCCTTTCTGTTTTTAGAGATGGGGTCTCACTGTGTTACCCAAGCTAGCAATCCTCCCACCTCAAGCTCTGAGTAGCTGGGACTACGTGCTTGACCTCAGTGCTTTTTTTTTTTGTAAAATGAGAGAGTCGAGTCAGATGATGTTTAAGCCATCTCTGAAATTCTAGAATTCCTGGATGCATGAACAGTTGAAAATTAGGGTTTCCCTTTGTATCTCCTGGGAGCCTCCTGATTCGAAGGCTCGTTCAGGTAAGAGGGCTCCAGTGCTGGGGGTTGGGCCTGTCCTTGCTCTGCCCAGCAGCTCCCTGGGCTCTGGTGTTCCTGGTGCCATGGATGCATTCCTAGGAAGGAAGACACTTTCGTCCTGTTCTATGGCGCTTTTGGAATCTACCAGGGTCTCAGGCATCTGCCGTCTGTCTCTGGGGCTGCTACTGCCCCCAGTCTGTGGATACAGAGGCCGTGCCTCTGCAGAGTTGCCCCCAGGTCTGCGGATGGAGGGCCGTGCCTCTGACTCTCCCTTAGATGTCTTTCTCACTGAACAGGACAGCCTGGCTTGCTCCTGCAACCAAGCCAGGCTGTCCTGTTCAGTGAGAAAGACATCTAAGGGAGAGTCAAGAGACTGCAGCATCCTAAAGTCAAAGCTAACACACGGAAATATATTTCTCCTAAGGAAGGATGACACCCTGCTCCACGGTGACCTTCGCCTCACATCAGCTTTCTTGTTGCTGGTAGAAGAGGGTGAAGTTTTCTCTTTTCCTTTTGCAGGATGTGCAGAACAAGTTAAAGGAATCAGCACAGTGTGTTGGGGACGAATTCATGAACTGTAAGCTGGCTACCAGGGCCAAGGTATTTTTCTAACTTCATCAGAGAAACAATAGTTTTAACTCTTCATATTGATTTTGCCTCCTCTGCATGGCAGGGATTGTGCTGCGATCCCTTGCATGGTTTTCTCATTGTTTTTTTTTTGGACAAAGTATTGCTCTGTTGCTGAGGCTGGAGTGTAGTGGCATGATTCCGGCTCACTGCAACCTCTGCCTCCTGGATTCAAGCAATTCTCATGCCTCAGCCTCCTTAGAAATTGAGATTACAGACATGCACCACCACACCTGGTTCATTTTTGTATTTTTACTAGAGTCAGGGTTTCACCATGTTGGCCAGGCTGGTCTCGAACTCCTGACCTCATGTAATCCACCTGCCTCAGCCTCCCAAAGTGATGGGATCACAGGTATGAACCAACGTGCATGGCCAGTTTCCTCATTTAACCCTTGTTTCAGCTGCCCTGACACAGCTGGGAGGCCTGTTTTATGAATGGACAAATAGGCTCAGCAAGGCTGTCGTTGGCCGAGGTCCTGAGCTTGTAAGTGGCAGGGCCAGGATTCGGCCGAGCTCTGACCTCAGGCCCTCCAGGCACCTTGTGCCCTCTGCTCCTGTCTGTGACTCAGATGGACGGATGCTTGTGTCACCATCTTTTCAGATTTCAGGGAATTCATTGTTGCATTTGTTTATTATTAAATGTTTAAAATCTGGTCTTTTTCCAGAAAGGATTAAGGTAGCTATTTGGTAGTTTTTTTTTGTTTTTGATTTTTTCTGTTTCCTTTTCTTTTGAGATCGAGTTTTGCTCTTGTTGCCCAGGCTGGAGACGCATTCTTCATCTCCCAGATTCAAGCGATTCTCCTGTTTCAGCCTCCTGAGTGGCTGGGATTATAGGTGACAGCCACTGCACCCCATCTGATTTTTATTTCTTAAACCTCTTCTTCAGGCCAGCGCAGTGGCTTATGCCTGTAATCCAAGCACTTTGGAAGGCTGAGACAGTCGGATCATTTGAGGTCGGGAGTTTGAGACCAGCCTGGCCAACATGGCAAAACCCCATCTCTAATAAAAATACCAAAAAAAAATATATATATAGCCAGATGTGGTGGCAGGCAGCTGTCATCCCAGCTACTTGGGAGACTGAGGCAAGAAGATCGCTTGAACCCAGGAAACGGAGGCTGCAGTGAGCCGAGGTCCTGCCACTGTACTCTAGCCTGGGCAACAGAGTGAGACTTGGTTTCATAAAACAACACAACATGACACAAAACAAAAAACACAAAAAAATCTGCTTCTTGATGCAAAAATAAAAAAATCTGTTTTATATTATTCTGTTTTTTTGAGACAAGATCTTGCTCCATCCCCCAGGCTATATTGCAGTGGTGCAATCCTGGCTTATTGCAGCCATGATCTCCTGGGTTCAAGCGATTCTCCCACCTCAGCCTCCCAGAGTAGCTGGGATGACAGGTGTGCTCCACAACACTTGGCTAATTTGTTTTTGGTGTAGATGGAGTCTCACTGTGTTGCCCAGGCTGGTCTCAGACTCTTGGCCTCAAGCAATCCTCCTGGCATGGCCCCCCAAAGTACTGGAATTAGAGTCATGAGCCACCATGCCTGGCCGAAACTTTTCCCTTCATTTCACTCTCTGAGCTTTCTGTTTTCTGAACACTGATGGTATCAAAGCTTATAAAAAGTCCTTGGGAATAAATGAGGCAAACAAGAGGCCTTCCCCCCCATGTGGAGAGTCTTTCAAGAATTTGTTTGTTGTGTTTTTTTCTTTTTCTTTCTTTTTTTTTTTTAAAGACAGGGTTTCACCATGTCTTTAAAAGGTCAGGTTGGTCTTGAACTCCCAACCTCAGGTGATCTGCCCGCCTTGGCCTCCAAAGTGCTTGGATTACAGGCATGAACCACCATGCCTGGCCTGTTTGTTGTATTTAATATGAAGATTTTTATTTGTTTTTTTTTTTCTGGAGACAGGGTCCCCAGGCTGGAGTGCAGTGTTGTGATCATGGCTCCTTGCAGCCTGGACCTCCTGGGCTCAAGTGATCCTCCTGCCTCAGTCCTCTATAAGTGCCTGGGACCACAGGTGCTCTACTGCACCTGGTTAATTTTTTAATTTTTTTGTAGAGATGGGGTCTCGCTATGTTGCTGAGGCTATTCTTAAACTCCCAGGCTCAAGCAATCCTCCTGCCTCAGTCTCCCAAAGTGCTGGGGTACAGGCATGAGTCACTACATCCAGATAAAGATTATTATTTTTTTTTTTAATTTTTTTTGAGATGGAGTTTTGCTCTGTTGGCCAGGCTGGAGTACAATGGCATGATCTTGGCTCACTGTAACCTCTGCCTCCTGGGTTCAAATGATTCTTCTGCTTCAGCCTTCTGAGTAGCTGGGATTACAGGTGCGTGCCACCACACCCAGCTAATTTTTATATTTTTAGTAGAGTCAGGGTTTCACCATGTTGATCAGGCTGGTCTCAAACTCCTGACCTCATGATCTGCCTGCCTCGGCCTTTCAAAGTGCTGGGATTACAGGCATGAGGCACTGCACCTGGCTCCAAAGATAATTATTTGAGTGTTTGTTTGTTTTCCAAGACAGAGTCTCGCTTGTTGCCCAGGCTGGAGTGCAGTGGTGCAATCTTAGTTCACTGCAACCTCCGCCTCCCGGGTTCAAGCAATTCTCCTGCCTTAGCGTCCCAAGTAGCTGAGATAACAGGTGCCTACCGCCACAACCAGCTAATTTTTGTATTTTTAGTAGAAATGGGGTTTCACCATATTGGCCAGGCTGGTCTTGAACTCCTGACCTCAGGTGATCCACCTGCCTCGACCTTTCAAAGTGTTGGGATTAACAGGCGTGAGCCACCATGCCCGGACATTTGAGTGTTTTTTGATAGGACCTCCAGTGTGATGACATTTCAGTGGACTCTGTGGTCTTTTGTCTTTGTATTTGCGGCATGCAGGTGATGATGGTTTTTGTTTCTTGTTTGGACATGCAGAGTGATCCCTGCACTGATCCCTGCAGGAGTGGGGCTCCTGGGGTGGCTCATGGACCTGCTGGGTCTCCTGTGGCTTAGCTTTTGAGAGGTCGACTGCTGCCATCTGACAGGTGCTCCACAGCAGGTAACACACAGTATCTCTCCCTCTTCTCATCATGTCAGGACTTCCTCCCAGCTGACATCCAAGCTCAGTTTGCCATCAGCCGGGAGCTGATCCGGAACATCTACAACAGCTTTCACAAGCTTCAGGACAGGGCTGAGCGGATCGCGTCGCGTCGAGGGCCATTGACAACGCGGCAGGTCTTCTCATATTTGGGAAGGAGCTAAGGCAGGTGACCTTTCAGCTTCTGCAGGGACAGGCGCGGTGGGACGGAAGTTCACGCTGGTGAAGGGCTTGGGCAGAAAATGTGTTTACCGTAATAACTAGCATCCTGACCTGTTTCACTCCAGAAGGGGCACAAAGTAGGTCAGGCACACGGGGGTCATATTTGGAAGAAACGAGGGAGAATTTCGGCCCAGAAATGCAGATTCCTGAGCACACGTAAATGTCGACCAGTTTCTTTTTTTTTTTTTAGACAGTTTCACTCTTGTTGCCCAGTCTGGAGTGCGATGGCACAGTCTCCACTCACTGCAACCTCTGTCTCCTGGGTTCAAGTGATTCTCCTGCTTCAGCCTTCCGAGTAGCTGGGGTTACAGGTGTGCACCACCAAGCCCAGCTAATTTTGTATTTTTAGTAGAGATGGGGTTTCTCCATGTTGGTCAGGTTGGTCTCAAACTCCTGACCTCAGGTGATTGCCCACCTTAGCCTTCTAAAATGTTGGGATTACAGGCGTGAGCCTCCGCGCCTGGTCTAATGCTCACCAGTTTCTAGTGTGGTACTTTTCCCACTGTTAGGATGAGACTTTAAAAGAGATCCCAGGCCAGGTGTGGTGGCTCATGCTTGTAATCCCAGCACTTTGGGAGGCTAAAGTGAGTGGATTACTTGAGGTCAGGAGTTTGACACCAGCCTGACCAACATGGTGAAACCTCTCTGCTAAAAAAATACAAAACTAGCTGGGCATGGTGGTGTACACCTGTAATCCTAGCTACTCGGGAGGCTGAGGCAGGAGAATTACTTAAATCTGGGAGGTGGAGGTTGCAGTGAGACAGAATTGAGCTGTTACACTCCAGCCTGGGCAACAAGAGCAAAACTTCATCTCAAAAAAATAAATAAACAGAAAAGATCCCTTTGACTTGGGGAAGAACAGACCAGGGACTGGCAGTGCTTCCTTTGCTTGAGGGTCAGGGAGACCCCATCCAGGACTCTGCTCCCCTGAGCAATGCCCCTAACCTGTGCACACACGTCACTTGGGGGCTGGTCAGGAAGAAGGGACGCAGCAGGGCCTGGGGTACAGCCCCGAGGCCATCCTTTCTCCCAGGTTCCCAGGGTTCCCGCAGGCTTCTCTTTGAGCAGCAGGGGCCTCAGAGGGCGGGGTGGTGGGGGGCACACAGGTTGCTGTGGAGGGTGCACTGTTGAGAGCTGCACGTCCGTTGCAGGCGATGCCAGACTCAACCACAGGGTGAGCTCCAGGTCCTCGAGTATCTCCTCTCCTGTGTGCTTGCTCCCTCAGTGCCATAGGGTCTGACACGACCTTGCTGCCCTCCTGGGCCGCTCTGAACAGCAGCACGTGGGGGTCCCTGAAGTGGGCTCTGAAAGGCCTGTCTGTGGAATTCGCGCTGCCCGAAGACAAGGCTGCACAACAGGTGAATGGATCGGTCGTCCCAGGCACCTGCTCCAGAGAGCACTCTCGGCCCTGGCATCGGGGACTGCTGCCTCCTCAGATGGGCTTCACAGTTCGTTTTTTTTTTTTTTTCTTTTGAGACAGAGTTTTGCTCTGGCACTGCCCAGACTGGAGTGCAGTGGCTTGATCTCGGCTCACTGAAACCTCTACCTCTTGGGTTCAAGCGATTTTCCTGCCTTAGCCTTCTGAGTAGCTGGGATTATAGGTGCCCACCACCACGCCCGAGTAATGTTTGTATTTTTAGTAGAGACGAGTTTTCACCATGATAGCCAGGCTGGTCTCAAACTCCTGACCTCAGGTGATCCAGCCGCCTCGACCTCCCAAAGCCCTGGGATTGCAGGCGTGAGCCACTGCGTCTGGCTAGCTTCGTAGTTCTGAGCCGAGTGAATGAGCAGCTGTGCCCTAGCTGGGAGCTGCCCATCCCAATCTGTTCCTGGTTGCTCCCTAGGAGTGTTTACACTTTTGAGAGGGGGTTTCCAGCGACAAAACAGATTGGGCTCTAGTCTTGAGTGTTGATTTTGCTGAGGTTGGAAGATAGACTGTTTTTGGAAAGATAATCTTGGATTTCCAGGCATACTTCTGGGTGGACCAGATAGTTACCACTTTGCTGTCTGAGTCCACCAGGATTTGGCACTGAGACTTAACTCATCAGAATAATCATGAAGCCCCAGCACCCAGGAGACTCCCGCCTCCCGCTCCACACACAACCTCAGGAAGTGCTTCTGCTGCATGGGCAGAAGCTGTTCTTAGAAATCCGCCAAGATCTTGGAGTCATTTGGGGTCAGTTTGAAGATAAGTGTTTACTGCCAAACTGAAAGGCTCATCTGGGGGATTTTATGTTAAAAAAGTGTTATGTGGCCGGGCATGGTGGCTCACACCTGTCATCCCAGTGCTTTGGGAGGCTGAGGCAGGAGGACTGCTTGAGCCCAGGAGTTTGAGACCAGCCTAGACAACAGAGCAAAATTTCATCTCTATAAAAAATTGCCTGAACCCGGGAGGCGGAGGTTGCGGTGAGCCGAGATCATGCCATTGCACTCCATCCTGGGTAGCAAGAGAGAAACTCCGTCTCAAAAAAAAAAAAAAAAAAAAAATTTTAAAAATTGGCTGGGCATGATGGCTCATGCCTGTAATCCCAGCACTTTGGGAGGCCAAGGCGGGCAGATCGCGAGGTTAGGAGATTGAGACTATCCTGGCCAATGTGGTGAAACCCCCACTCTACTAAAAATATTTTCAAAAATGTAGCTGGGCATGGTGGTGCATGCTTGTGGTCTCAGCTCTCGGGAGGCTAAGGCAGGAGAATTGCTTGAACCCGGGAGATGGAGATTGCAGCGAGCCGAAATCATGTCACTGCACTACAGCCTGGGCAACAGTGCGAGAATTTGTCTCAAAAATAAATAAATAAATTAGCCAGGGGTCATGGTACAATCCCGTAGTCCCAGCTACTCAAGCGGCTGAGGTGGGAGGATCACCTGAGTCCAGAAGGCAGAGGCTTCAGTGAGCCTTGGTGCCACTGCACTTCAGCATGGGTGATAGAGCAAGAGTCGGTCTCAAAAACAGAAAGCTTCCATAGGTGTGAAGGTGAGAGCTTGCTGCCTCGTTTCTGTTTCTTGGGAAAGTGGCCTCCAGGCTACTCATATTAGTTTGAAGTTAAGTGATCGGAGTGCCTGTGAGGTCAGTGCCCCCCAGTGAGCCCCAGAGCTCCTGAATGGCTTGGTGAGTTGTGAACCCACCTACTGTGGAGTTGGGGCTTTTCAAGTTGGAAACAGGGCACTCAGGTGCCCATGACATTTTTTGTGCTGAAGAGGAAATTTGATGTCTTTGCTGGTGTGGAAAGTCCTAGGTTTTCTTCCTCTTCCATCCCGGTGCCTGTGTGTTCCCTTTAGAAACGGAGGGAGGGCACTCTTGGTGTCTGTGGATTGGGGCTGGGTCCATGCCATCTCCAGGTCTGTGTGCCCACTCCCCCCAGGTGAAGAGGACTGAGAACGTGGGGCTGGGGGCTTGTCAGGATAGAGGCAGTGGAGCTCAGGTCTGCCTGCCCTTGCATTGTGTGTCTGTGTCGTGACTGTGCTCAAACCACTTTGGTCTCTGGGGCTCAGTTTCTCCATCAATTAAATACAAGGGGGTTGAACTCGATTATTAAAAGAGCTATGTCTTTTTTTTTTTGAGACAAAATCTCGCTCTGTCCCCCAGGCTGGAGTACAGTAGTGGGATCTTGGCTCACTGCAACCTCTGCCACCTGGGTTCAAGCACTTCTCCTGCCTCAGCCTCCCCAGTAGCTGGGATTACAGGTATGCACCACCACGCCTGGCTAATTTTTGTATTTTTGGTAGAGATGGGGTTTCACCATGTTGCCCAGGCTGGTCTCGAACTCCTGACCCCAAGTGATCTGCCTGCCTCAGCCTCCCAAAGTGCTGGGCATACAGGCACGAGCCCCTGAGCCCGGCCAAAAGAGCTGTTTCTTTAACCTGCTGACCCTTTCCTCCAAGCAAAACGTAAAAGCCGTTGCTGTCACAGGGACCCAGACCCTTACCACAGCCCACTTCCTCTGCAGCAGGTGGCGACCAGCAGAGTGCCCAGATAGCCCCTGGGCTCTGTAGAGCACAGAATGAACATACTCATGAAGTGATTCCCAGAGTTTTTTACTGATTTAGCCCTGGATGATGCTGCATTTCCATCTCGAAGAGGGAGAGAAGGTTCAGGCTTCTGGTGTGGTAGGAGTTTTTGGTTTGAGGTTTTGCCCAGCTCTGTGACTGACATTTCATGAGTTCTGTTTTGGGTCTGTGATGTCTGGAGAAGTGCTGTTTCCTGAATATCTCTCACTGTCCTCAGTTGTAGTAAAATTGAGCTTTTACATGAAATAAACCTCAAGGCCTTTAATTTGATACAGCAAAAGTTCCACCTCACCCTTGCTGTAGTCAGAGACAGCGAAGACTGTTTTTCCTAATTCTGCTTGTATTTACACTAGTTTTATTCTCCCCAGACCTCTTAGGAGCTGTAGGAAGCCATATCCCAGCAAGACACATGAGACTGGTCTGTGTTTTCCATGGTGATGGGGCCTTTGTCTTGGTTAACGGCACATGCAGTGATGGTTTAGGGCACATTTGTCCAACCAGCACTTTGGGAGACCAGGGTGGGTGGATCACCTGAGGTCAGGAGTTCAAGACCAGCCTGGCCAACATGGTGAAACCCCATCTCTACCAAAAATACAAAAATTAGCCAGGTGTGGTGGCATGCGCCTGTAATCCCAGCTACTCAGGAAGTTGAGGCAGGAGAATTGCTTGACCCAGGGAGGCGGAGGTTGCAGTGAACTCAGATCGTGCCACTGCACTCCAGCCTAGGTGACAGAGTGAGACTCTGTCTCAAAACAAACAAAAATCTGTAAACTTTCTAAAAACATTATGAGATTTATGCACAGACCTTTTTTCTTTTTTTTCTTCTTTTTTAAAGCTCATCAGCTATCATTCATGTTAGTGTATTTTATGTGTGGCCCCAGACAATTCTTCCAGTGTGGCCCAGGGAAGCCAAAACATTAGACACCCCTGGTTTAGGGTTTTGTGCAGCACTAAACCACAGACGGAACTTGGTGGCAAATGACACGAGCAGGGGGACCCCCGAGCTCCTCTTCTTCTGCTGGGTCAGGGGATACGCCTCCATTTTCCTGAGCCCCTGCCTGGGCAGGTGGGAGCTGGGCATCTGTGGTCAGCTGGCATTTTCCCTCTAGAGTGTTAAAAATTCTTAGCACATTTCTTCTCCTGGCACATTTTACTGGCTGGAATCCCAGCTGCTGTAGGTGTGGGCTTGGTGGCCGGGGAGCCTCCTTGTTCAGTTGGCCTGAAGTCTGGAGGGTGGAAAGGGCATCTTAGGGTGCCCTGGGGTGCAGCAGAGCCTGGGCAGCATCCCTGGCTCCCATTCCAGCTCTATGTCCCACAAAACTCCTTCCAGTCACTTGTGTCTGTGCTGTCTCTTGCTGAGCTTGACGTGTGGTTTGTGTTGTGAGCTTTTCACCCCCTGCTGCGGGTGGAGCCCGAGGGATTGTGGAGGGAGCCTCATGTCCCTGAGGTGCTCAGTGAGCTGTGCCGGAGCCCTTCAGGGCCGGGGTATGACTAAAGGCGTCAGTGTCAGGGGTTTCCCCAGGATCCCTGCCATCGGGCTGGCTTCATTGTCGTTGTGGCTGGGGGTCTGTGGTGGGCTGCACAGGTCAGGGGTGGACGAGCTGCCCCTTCTGCTGCCATCCCCAGCCCCCTGCTGTCTCCAGAGCTTGGATGCTCCCCTCAGTGGCAGCCAGAGCCCAGGGCTTTGGGCTGATCCTTCATACTGCAGGTGCCTCTGACCGTGGGGTCAGGCTGTGTGTGCTGTGGCCTGGCCTGTGCCCCCACCGAGAGCTGCTACCAGTGTGAGCGGAGCAGCGGAGGCAATCTCTGCGTGGGGTTTGGCCCGTGGGGGCTGCCCCGTGTCCCCAGGTGCTGTGGGACTCTAGGGGCTGATCATCCCTCTGCCATGATGGGGCCCCTGTTCCACTACAGGGTTGCCTGCCATTTGCTGTGCATTCACTGCCCTGTTGGGCTGTGTTTGTGGCTGTGCTGCCCGCACAAAACCATGTGTGAGGCCAAAGAGGAGCCTGTGCCCACCGCCATCCCTGCCGTCCAGTGTGATGCTTCTGTGTGCAGCCCCAGGCAGCCGCCTCCCTTCCTGGCTCCTCATCCCAGGCATCATACGCCTCTGCTGGCCTCTCCGTTGTGGTTTCACAGCACGTCCTTCCTGCAGCTGCTGTCCCTCCTACCCTGCACCCCTTCCTAGGCCTGCATTTCTCTTTCTTTTGCTGATGTGGAGATGATGGCCTCATTCTCCTCCGTATCCGTCCCGGGCGTGCCTGTTTTCAACACAGCTCACAGCGTCAGATGGGGGAGCTCAGGTTTTCTGCGGTGCTTGATGGAGCCGCCGAGGATTGCGGGGTCCGGGGTGCCTGGCTCTCCCAGCATGTGTGTCGGGAGAGACACCGGCTCTTTGAAGCCCAGAGGAAGGCTGGACAGTCTGATCAGCAGGATTCTGGGCAGCTATCCTGCTGGATTGCAGTCCTTGTGCCCATCAAGACTGCTGGGCTCAGAGGTGTCTCCGCCTGGTCTTGTGTGGGCCGGTGGGGAAGGGAGCCCCCTGTAGACCTGGCTGGTGGTCCTGGGGAGTCCCTCTGACTCTGGGAGGAAGGAACCTGCCCAGGCCAGGCTTGGGTCTGAGTTCCTGGGCAGGGTTCGTGGTCCTGTGTGTGTCCTCGTGGGTAAGCTCCCTCTCCCCCTCACCTTCTAGGGTAAGCAGGCGGAGAATGACGTGGTGGAGAAGCTGAACCTCTTCTTGGATCTGCTGCAGTCATATAAGGTGAGTCTTGGCTGCTCCTTGGTTGGGGGCAGAGCTTTTGAGAATGATCTTAGGAGCTTTCAAGGGTGTAATTCCTGGGGGATGGGAGGAGCTGAGAAGCCAGGGCTGCAGCGGGAGATGGGACCTTCCGTCTCTCGGGTGTGCCTCCCTCAGCTGGCTCTGCAGGGCCCTGGTGCGGGCTTCAGGAGCCAAGGCCGAATGCCTCCCCTGGCCCTGCAGGACCTGTGTGAGTGGCACGAGAAGGGTGTGCTGCACAAGCACCAGCGGGCCTTGCACAAATACAGCCTGATGAAGAGGCAGATGATGAGCGCTGCCGTGCAGAACTGCGAGCCGGAGTCCGTGGAGCAGCTGGAGTCCCGCATTGTGGAGGTGGGTGGCTGGATGGCTAGGCACGCCTTTGGGAGCCTTTCCCCTCGCAGCCTTGGTGGGCCCTGGACCTGTCCCGGTGGGCTTTCCTGGGTTGGCCCCAGGCATCTGGAACAGAGCTGGGGGTACAATGAAGTCTGGGAGCTGCCCCGGGTACCCAGAGTGACGTGGCTCCCTCTTACCTTGCCACCTTCCAAATGCCTGGTGAAGGCTGAAGGAGGAGGGGCCACCCTGGCTCAGGGAGCACGCTGGTGTTCAGGCCTTGATGCTCCTCCAGCTTCTGGCTGGGCCAGTTGTGAAGTTGGCTGTTGAATTTGCAGCAGGAGAATGCGATTCAGACCATGGAGCTGCGGAACTACTTCTCCCTGTACTGCCTGCACCAGGAGACACAGCTCATCCACGTCTACCTGCCCCTCACCTCCCATATCCTCCGTGCCTTCGTGAACTCCCAGATCCAAGGGCACAAGGAGGTGAGTCCCCCTTTGCTCAGGATGCTGTCTTGGCCACGGCCTTCCTTCTTCCCTGACGCCCTTCCCTCAAGCCTGGCAGCGCGGTGGCCGGCCACCCTTGAGAGGTTCTTTAGTGGAGTTGGGGTCCACCTGGAACATGGTGCTCACCCAGATCTTCTAGTCTCCTTTGTAGCCAAAGTCAGAATCATGAGGGTGTCCCTGTGATTTCTGGGGGCGGAGGGAGGAACAGACAGGGACAGTTTGCCTTCTGGAGGGATTTGAGAAGTCAGAGGTAAAGCCCGCAGAGCTCCCACACCCTGTGACTGAGATAAGGTTCTGAGTGCTTGGGAGCGCTGTAGGAGGGGTGTTTTTCCAAAGAGCACTAGCCAGCTTTCTCCAGATGGTGCTTCCTTCAGCCTTTGAGAAGAAATGCTCTCGCAGTACTGAGACAGGCCCCCCAAAGTGCTGGGATTACAGGTGTGAGCCACTGCGCCTGGTTGAGATTGTTATATTAAGTAGCTGCAAGCAGGTTTGAAGCCGTGGTCTGTGGCATGTGTTGAATGGTGCCGAGTGTCTGGGATGGCCATAAGGTTTCACGCTCTCCCTGGGAGGTGCTTGGTGCCTTGGGTGCCGTCTGGCAGTTTGGGAATGGCAGGCCGGAGGTGGCAGTGGTGGGGCTGGAGAGGCGGAGACAGCTGCCCTTAGGAGCATCACTGCGAGATGGCCAGGGTCTCAGGGGACCAGGTTGGGCTTGGACATCTCAGTGGCTGGGTGTGTCCTCAGTGAAGTAACATGAGCAACAGGTGGGGCCCTGTCCTGCCTGGGGCATGATGCTGTCACCCCAGTCCTACCAGTTCCATTATTGTGGTGATGAGGAGTTCCTAGTCCTGTGATCCTGAGATGAGTGTGCTGTGCTCCAGTGACTCAGCCTCCCCTGCAGGCCCCCAGGGCTGCGCCCTGCCCGTCTCTGGCCACCTAAGCCCCTGCACGGCAGGTCTTGTCCTGACCCCTGCCTTGCTGCCACACCCTCCCCCTCACGTCCACAGTATCCGTTCATTGCCCTGGTTCCAAAAGTGTTGGTGAGTGGGGCCACCGTTTGCATTCCGGTTTGTGTGTTACTGATTTGGTGGATGTGGTCTTTGTGTTTTTGGTTTGCTTTTTTGTTTTGAGACGGAGTCTTGCTCTGTCGCCCAGCCTGGAGTGTAGTGGTGTCACTGCAGCCTCAACCTCCCGAGTAGTTGGGACCACAGGCATGCACCACCACACCCGGCCAAGATTTCTGATTTTTTTGTGGAGACTGGGTGTCCCTCTGTGGCCCAGGCTGGCCTTGGTGTTTGACCTGCCAAAGCTTCCATGAAGCCAGTGCCTACACGGTAGCTAGAGCACGTACTGGCAATGACCTGACAGTAACGCTTCTCATGATTTCACGGCAGGCAGCTTTGCGGCCCTTGGTCCTGGGTGCAGGGTCTGAGGCAAGGGCATCTGTGACCACAGGTCACATGAGGCCACTGGTCCACTCCTCATTTGGACTTCCTCTGTGCAGGATGGGCAGCACTGGCTCTGTTGGAGGTTTGAGGAGCTGACGCACCCACATGCCCCTCTGTCCCTGTCACTGGCAGGGGAAGGAGGGATGGGAAGGAGTTGGGATTAAAGCTGGGGCCCCCCTGCTGACCTTGTTCTCTTCGTGTTCCCTTTCAGATGAGCAAGGTGTGGAACGACCTGAGACCCAAGCTCACACAGCGCCCTGACTCCACTGCGCTTCCCGCTGCAGTCCCCACCAGAGGATGGCCTGTGTCCTCACTAGCGCGAGGCTAAGGCAGTGCTCCCTGCGGCCACACTAAAACCTCTTTCCAAACAGTGTGTCCCGTGTAATTCCCTTTGGACGGCAGCTCCCCTTCCCGCCAGTGCTGCAGCTGGAGCAGATGCACTCAGTCCGCAGGCCGGGAGGGCACCCATGGACCACAGGGAAGCTGTGCCACACTGTCCTCCACCCCGTGGCCTGCTAGCCTGGTGGAGAGGGGTGGTGGGGTTCCTCCTGACACCCAGAGCCATGGGGGAAGGCAGGGATCTCTCATGTCACAGAGATTGTGCCTGGGGGAGCATGGGGGCGGGGCCCCCAGATGCTGGAACAGTCAGGAGGGGCGGCCTCGTGGTGCTGGTCAGTGGAGGAGAGAGGAAGGGCAGGGCCACCCTGCAGCCAGGCACGGGACTGGCCATGGACAGCAAGGGGACAGCCAGTGAGCTGATGGTATGGACGCTCTCATGGCTCTTTGTGGTGGCAAGGCCAGGAGGGCTGGCCATCGGGCATGGGGCGTGCACTGTGAATTTTCTAGGGGACTTGCTGCAGTAAATACCAGGAGCTCTGGTCTGGGATTGGCCTCCAGGATCCAGTGGTCCCATGTCCCCCTGCTCACTCCATGACTCCATGTGTGCCCTGTGCCCACATCATAACCCTGTGTGTGCCTCTGGTCTCAGGCCTGGAAGACAAAGGCGTGACGGAGAGCTAGGTCTCTGAGAGTGGGCGCTACAATGGTTCTGTTCCTGTCCCCTGGACTCCCTTCATTTCTGGTGGCCAGTATTGGGGACTTCACCGTGTGGCACTGAGGCTGGATGGGCTGGCAGAGGACAGGTGGGGGGCATGGGGGATGTGTTCCCTTCCAGCTGGGGCTTTAGAGGAGGGATAGTCCCCTTTTAGATGGATTTCCTTCTCTGAGGCAACTAGAGTCTCCCCTCAGCCTCCCGCCATGCACTTGCCGGCCCAGCCACCCGCACACAGAGGGGACCGTTCCCTTCTCTGGATTAAGAAGCCATTCTCCTGAGGTCTGTGGGGCTGGAATGTCTGCCCTAGGCCTGGGTCTGCTCCTGCCCCAAACCCCTTTTGCGGAAGGCACATGGAACTTGGGGGGGTCTCCCAGACCCCTGTGCTTCTCCAGAGCCTGAGGCCCTCCCTGTGGGGAGAGGTGCTGGAAGAGGATCCCGGGCGCCAGGGTTTCTGAGGTCCCTCCATTCTCCGGATGCTCTTTGGCCTCCGGGCGTTCCCTCCACTCACAGTTTGCTTCCCTTCTGCCTGCACCCATGGGGATCTCATGGCCCTAGGATGGAGAAGGAGACACCTGTTTGTGTCCATAAGCAGGTGGTCCACCATTCACTGTGAGCTGGCCAGAGGGAGTGGCTGCACCTTCTGGCCCTGTTGGCTATGCTGACAACATGGCTGTGGGGCTTGGACCCTGCCCTGCCCTGTGGGTTCTGCTGGTGCCTTCCTGCTGCAGGGTGGGCTGCTCCCTTCTAGCCAGAGGAGCAGAGGGCAGCGCTCCCTTTGGAGCCTGATGGGTGGGCTATCCTGTGAGTCCCTAGCCCAGCCAAGTCTTGGGTTGTGCTGCGAATCTGACCCCCTCTGCAGAGACAGATTCTCAGTTTCCATGAGTGGTGCTGTGACAGCTAAGCCATGCAGCGTGACCCTGTGTGGGCAGAAGGCTGCAAGGCCTCGCCGTCTGCTTGCACCTACCTGGGGCCTGTCCAGCTGCAGGACCATAGAGGCTGTGGGCAGAGTCGTGGTGGGCATCAGGCGCTGGGGCCTCGTGTCTCCAGGGTAGGCAAGGCATGTGCTCCCGATACAGCCCTCCAAGGAGAGAGCAAGACTCAAATGAGCATTTCTGAAGGAGCGTTCCTGGCAGGGACTCTGGGGTCAGTGAGTATGATAGGAGGCCACATGCCTGGCAGCGTCTCCCCGTGGTGGAAATTTCAGGACCAGGGTCTTAGGGTCCTTGTGTCCAGAGGCTGAGGATGGAGGTAGAAAGGAGGAGGGCAGGGGTGAGGATGAAGCAGAAAGGCAGGGGTGAGGAGAAATGGGAGGGTGGGGGTGAGTGGGAGACAGGAGGGGAGGCGTGGGGGGAGCAGGAGGGCAGGGGTGAGGGATCAGGAAGGCAGGAGTGAGGAGGGGAGCAGGAGGGCGGGGATGAGGAAGAAACAGGAGGGCAGGGTGAGGGGACAGGGCGGGGTGAGGAGGGTAGGGGTAGGGGGGAACAAGAGCAGGGGTGAGGAAGAATCTATAGGGCAGGGGTGATGGGGGATCAGTAGGGCCAGGATGAGGAGGGATCAGGAGGGCAGGAGTGAGTGGGGAGGAGGAGGGCAGGGGTGAGTGGGGAGCAGGAGGGCAGGGGTGAGGGGGAGCAGGAGGGCAGGGGGGAGGGGGGAGCGGGGGGGGAGCAGGAGGGCAAGGGGGGGGAGGTAGGGGTGAGGAGGGCAGCCTGTCTCCTATGTGTGACTGTGGCCGCTTCCTGCATGCCCTGACATTGGTTCTGTGGAGGGTTAGACACTGGCTTTGGAACACTTCCCTCCCTCCCTCCTTCTGCCACCCAGTGCCTTCTCAAGGGCAGTAGAAGGCTGCAAGGCAGGGGATGGCAGAGGCCACCTTCCTTCTTACAATTACTTCTTGGCCCTGGCCCTGGCCCTGTGCTGCCTTGGCAGGTACCCAGGCCTAGGGGCTGATCGGGGGGAAGAGAGGCTGCTTCCTGCTGCAGGTGGAGGCCCTGTGCTGGGAGAGTGGGGTTCCCCATGTCTCTCCAGCCCTCCTGCTGCCCATGGCCCAAGCCCAAGCCTGTGCTGGGCATTGCAGCCTTGCCCAGCTGGCAGGGACAGCTGGGTGTGATGCCAGTGGAGATGTCAGATGCCGCCCGCCCTGGGAGAACAGGCAGCTGGCGGGGTCACAGGAGGGGGGCTGCAGATCACAGTGAAAGGGAACATTCTTACTGGATCCTCCTGTCCTGTGGACTCAGGGTCACCATGCAGACAGCTGCCCTCTGTCTGCCATAGAGGCAGTGCAGACAGGGGAGACAGGTAGGGCTTTGATGGGCACGGGGACTCCTAGCTGAGGGATGTCAGGGTGGCTCTGTGCACCTGAGGCCTTTACTCTTGCTTTGGGGGTCAGGTCATGTCCAGAGCACTTTAGGAGGCTGCTGGGATCAACACCCAATACACCCAATAAACTGGAATTGTTTACACACAACCTACATTTTGGACAGTTTATGGATAACTGTGTGAACAACTTTTATTAAATGTGTATGAAAGTTGGGCAGCGGAGGGGGACAAGCCTATGGGCTTTAGCCTCAGTTTCCCACACTGCAGGGGGGTTTTGAGATGACACCTCCAGCTAGTGGCACTGAGCATGTGTCCTGCCCTCCGCCAGCTGCCCACCTCTGGGACAGTCTCCATCCTCTCCCACCTCTGTGCAGCACGGGTCGCAGCCCAGCACATCTGGCAGCTTCCTGTGGACAGGACTTGGCAGGCTGTGCTGGTGTCTGGAGAAGGAAGTTTAAAAAGAGACCAGCTGGGCGTGGTGGCTCATTCCTGTAATCCCAGCACTTTGGGAGGCTGAGGCAGGCGGATCACGTGAGGTCAGGAGTTCAAGACCAGCCAGGTCAACATGGTGAAACCCTGTATCTACTAAAAATACAAGTACTAGTCGGGCGTGGCAGTGTGCACCTGTAATCCCACCTACTTGAGAGGCCGAGATGGATGGGAGGATCGCTTGAACCTGGGAGGTGGAGGTTGAAATGAGCTGAGATCACATCACTGCACTCCAGCCTGGGCAAAAGAGGCAATAAAACGAGACTCCCATCTCCAAAAAACAAAGGTTGAAGACCTTTATTTTCCTTTCTGTACAATCACACTACAGACAAAACCCAGCTCTGATCCACTTGCGCCCAGGTGAACAGACGGTTTGCAGCTGTTCAGCAGCCAAGTTTCCTGCCCAGGGGCTCCCCAGGCTCCCGCTAGACCGCATCCACCCCTCGGAGTGTGTAGTCCAGGATGGTGTCTTGACCCTGGAACTTGAAGTACCCGTGGACTTTTTCTTCTGAAGTAGGAATTGAAACCAGTAGCTGTCATCTGGCCACATGTCCTTGAAGGGGATCTGGTCCAGCTGGAACCAGTGTGGGCACATTTCTGTACCGAGGGGAGAAGAGGAGGCACTGACATGCAACCCAAATTTAATGCTTATTATTATTTTTGTAGAGACGGGGGTCTCACTATGTTGCCCAGGCTTGTCTTGAACTCCTAGGCTCAGGCGATCCTCCTGGCTTAGCCTCCCACAGTGCTGGGATTACAGCTGTGAGCCACTGCATCAGGCCAGCCCAAACTTAAACTGGCTCTCTGAGGAGTACACTGAGTGATCATGAGGAACTGATGATCGTTCGTATTTAATCCTCTGACCATGTTTCTCATTTTGGGGTAGGAAGTGGCTGCAGTGACCATAGCTCAGGGCCCTACGCTGGCATTGTGGGGTGGATGGGACACAGGCTGCCTGCTACCTGGCACTCAGAGCTGGTTTGCGCTGATGGTCTTTCTCCCAGCCAGGAGATGGAACGTGCATGGTGGGGAGTGGGGAGCAGGCCCCATGAGGCTCTCCACAGGGGTCCCCTGGATGCTGTCTGTGCAAAAGACATGCACATCCATGAGCTCAGGTTCGCCCACGAACTCAAACACGATCTGGCCCACCTTGTGCAGCGCATCCACTGTCAGACCGCTCTCCTCCTGTAGCTCCCTGTAGGCAGAGGTGGACGGGGGAGGGAGGATGGAGGGCGTCAGGCAGGCCACCATGCCCACATGATGGCAGGGGAGGAGGAGCTGGGCATCTGCACAGCCCAGGGAGCCACTGGAGTGGACGGGAGACCCAAGACGTTACCCGGAATGCATTAGCTCGTCCCGACCTGCCTGAGCTTCACAATCAACTTGAACTTTGAAGACACTGAGTTTGGTGGAGAGGCTCTGGGGAGGAGCCCGAAGATGGTGTGGAGCCACTGGTGGGAGGATCGCAGTTCTAGTCCACCATCCTCTGTGTATCAGTGGCAGCCCAGTGGAGTCCAGCCACTTGCCCACGGTCTTGAGACACAAGGGCAGCAGGGTTGGGACTGATACCACTTCCTTCATTCCTGGTTGCTCATTTCCGTGGCTGAGCATCAGAGCCTATGCAGCTGTAGTTATGGCTGCCGGAGCCCTGGGACGTTTGCTCCAGGAACCTGGGTCCTGTATGCTGGGCCTGCCTGCTGAAAGAAATGTCTTTCTAGCCTGGCACTGCTTCTCTGAGAACACAGGATGAAACCACAGCCTTTTTTCGTTGTTGTTGTTGTTTTTTTGAGACGGAGTTTCACTCTTGTTTACCCAGGCTGGAGTGCAATGGCGCAATCTCAGCTCACTGCAACCTCCGCCTCCTGGGTTCAGGCAATTCTCCTGCCTCAGCCTCCTCAGTAGCTGGGATTACAGGCACGTGCCACCATGCCCAGCTACTTTTTTGTATTTTTAGTAGAGACGGGGTTTCACCATGTTGACCAGGATGGTCTCGATCTCTTGACCTCGTGATCCACCCGCCTCGGCCTCCCAAAGTGCTGGGATTACAGGCGTGAGCCACCGCGCCCGGCCCTGAAACCGCAGCCTTCTATGATCTCTTTCTTGAAGGAGGAGCTCTGGTTTTAACTTTGGACCCCAGGCTGACCACGCAGGACACGTGCCCTGGGCCTCTTGCTGCAGCCTCTTCCTGCACATTCTTGGGACCTGCTCCCCACAGCTGTTCCTGAAGGAGGTGAAGGGGCTGACCTCACCACGGAGTGCCCAAGTGCTGCTGTGGCTGGTAACAAGTCATTCCCTCTGCTTTGCCACACACAGAGCCAGAAGGCTTCCCTGAAGTAATCTAATGCTATTGCTAACTTAAAAATACTTTAAAAATTACATATATTTTGTAGACGACCAGGAAACAAAACACCATAAACTCATCACCCAGGAATGCCACCATATCAGTGTTTTCCTTTGGCTCTTTCTCCTCTGTACATCCCTTAAAAAATGCAGACATTAACCCTTAATCGCTTAAGGTTAAAAAATAAAAATGCAGCTGGGTGCAGTGGCTCACACCTGTAATCCTAGCACTTTGGGAGGCCGAGGTGGGTGGATCACCTGAGGTCAGGAGTTCAAGACCAGCCTGGCCATCATGGTGAAACCCCATCTTTAAAAAAAATAAAAATAATAAAATAATAAAAAATAAAAATAAAAATGCAAACAGATTGGGTGCAAGGTGGCTCATGCCTGTAATCCCAGCACTTTGGGATGCCAAGATGGGAGGATCACTTGAGCCCAGGAGTTTGAGACCAGCCTGGGCAACATGGCAAAACCCTGTTTCTACACTAGCTGGGCATGGTGACACTTGCCTGTAGTCCCAGCTACTCAGGAGGCTGAGATGGGAGGAACGCTTCAGCCCAGGAGTTATAGGCTACAGTGAGCTATGATCATGCCACTGCACTCCAGCCTGGGCAACCGAGCTAGACCCTGTCAAAAACAAAAAACAAAAAAACATTATACACATTTTATACCTTGTGCTTTCTACTCAAGAAAGGAGGAGTGAGATGTTCGACACCTCAAGGAATCCAGCCAGCTTCTCAACTGCTGTTTGCTGTGAAAGAATAAAGTGTTCCCATGTCGGGTTATCGTGGAAACCCATGTTGGATACAGCAGTGCTGCTGACATCCCGTTCTGAGCATTTGCTGGCTGTGCTCAGTTGGGTTCTTGCTTAGTCCTTCAGCAGACACTTCTCCAAGACCTACTCTGTGCTGGGACCCTGGGAATGCACGGGCTGTGGCCCCCGGGCATTTCAGTCTGCTCCTCCTACCATGCCTGGCTAATTTATCTGTGGGTGTGCCTGTGTTATTTCATTTTTTTTTGTAGAGACAAGGTCTTGCTATGTTGCCCAGGCTGGTCCCGAACTGCTGGGCTCAAGCGATCCTTCTTCTTTGGCCTCCCAAAGTGCTGGGACTTCAGGTGTGAGCCACCATGCCTGGCCTACATGGTCTGATTTAAGTTATGCCTCCTCAGCATAAGCTGTAGGGACTGGAGAGGAAACAGACCTGGAATCAACATTTATTCAGGGAGATGGCTAATTAAAGCTGGACTTGAGCTAAACAATTAACATGTTTGTTTGTCCTTGCAGGGTGCAAATGGCTCCCCAGCTAGATGCAACAGATGTGCTCAGTGGGGCCTCACCAGCCTCTTGGTGGCCAGCTGTTGCTTGTCTTAAAAAGCGTCACCTCCCGACAGAATGTTGTGACTGATTTCAGTTAATCTTCCCCAACACACGGCAGCATAGGAAGCATGAAGAATCTTCTGGGAGACAGCGTGGAAGCTTCATTTTACAGGCGGGGAGCGCCACGCAGGCGAAGATGATGATGTTTCAGTTCTGCTCAAGTGTCTGCTCTATCCGTGCTACTCACTTCCTCAGACAGCAAACGGGGAACAGGATGAGAAATACATTAAACAAAAATACAGGTGGCGAGGCCTTGGTGGTATGGGGAGGCGGGAGTCAGAGGTCCCTACAGGCCTGCTTCTCATTGGTCCTGCTCCCATGTCCCGGGTCTCACTGGCCTTTGGGGTCAAAGATGCTGCCTAGAAAGATTGTCTCACACTGTGCACCTAATGCCCAAACTTGCACAACCCCCATAATCCAGCACTCCCCCGTACATGTCCCCTGCCCCACAGAGGATCTGAGTCCAGCCCTCTGGACTGGGGATGAGTGCTCAGGCCTACCCCCTGCAGGTGAATGGGGCTAAGGCAGGAACCAGCCTCCCTGGAGAGTGGGCTGCCAAGGCTCCTCCCTGCCTCCCCCTACTGGGCAGCAAGAGCCTGGGGTCACCCCAGGGGCAAATCTATTCAGACTCACAGGTACTGAAGCCTAGGGCCATGCTGGTGGCCTGGGGCTGCTGTTGTGTTATCCCCTGGGAAGCGAGGCCGTTTGCTGCTGGGTTCCCAGGGCCTTGGGACCCCTAAGCACCAGCCTATCTGGCTCCAGTGTCTCCCATTCCTCACGCCTGCAGATGCTCCCCAATGAGGGATGTTTTTTCCCCCTTTAAGACAGGGTGTTGGCAGGGCACGGTGGCTCTCACCTCTAATCTCAGCACTTTGGGAAGCCAAGGCGGGTAGATCACCTGAGGTCAGGAGTTCAACACAAGCCTGGCTAACATGGTGCAACGCCGTCTCTACTAAAAATATACAAAAAAATTAGCCGGGTGTGGTAGTGAGCCCCTGTAATCCCAGCTACATGGAAGGCCGAGGCAAGAGAATTGCTTGAACCTGGGAGGAGGAGGTTGCAGTGAGCTGAGATCATGCCACAGTACTCCAGCCTGGGCAACAAGAGTGAGACTCCATAAAATTAAAAAAAAAAAAAAAAAAAAAAGGCAGGGTCTCACTCTGTTGCCCAGGCTGGAGTGCTGTGGTGCGATCACAACATAGTCTCAACCTCTTGGGCTCAAGTGATCCTCCCACCTCTGTCTCCTGAGTAGCTAGGACCACAGGTCTGCACCACCAGACTTGACTGAGTTTTAAAATTTTTAGCAGAGAAGGCTGGTTTTGAATTCTTGAGCTTAAGTGATTCTCCCACCTTGGCCTCCCAAAGTGCTGGATCACAGACATGAGCCACTGTGCCTAGCCTGAGAATATCTTAAGCTTGGGATAGGAAGATTTCTTTAAAAGCATGTGAAAAATGCTAACCATAAAATAAAAATTACATTTTAGATTATATTAATAAACTTCTGTTTACCAAAATGTCACTAAGAGTAGAAGCCACTGAATAGAAAATATTTGCAATATATATAATATCTGACAACTCACATCCAAAATGTTTAAAGAACTACAAATAAATCAGAAATCGTGACCAGCCTGGGTAACAGAGTGAGACCCAGTCTCTTAACAAACAAAATCAGGAAAAGGTAACTAAATTCAAACACGGGCAAAAGGCTTGAGCAGATACTTCACAAAAAAGGAGATCCAAGCGGCCCACAGACACTGAGGAGGCACTCCTGTTCCTCAGTCATCAGGGCACACAGAACCTCAGTGAGCTCACCGCCCCTACCAGAATGGCTAAGATGAAAAGGAGAAAAGTGCCAAATGCTGTTGAGCATCTGGAGGAAGCTGAACTCACATGCCCGTGGTGGGAGTTTGAATCAGTGAAACATCTGTGGAAAATGGTTTGGCAATCTTTGCTGAAGCCAAATATCTACAGGTTTCCTCCAAGGTAACTGTCCACCAGGAAAGGGTGCACACAGGCACCAAAAGACATGTTCAGGATGGTTCCTGGCAGTGGCCTGCAACAGCTTCCAAGGGGAAGGCCCATATGCACAACTGCAGCAGGGCAGGTGACCTGGAGCAGAGCGGGTGACCTGCAGCAGAGCAGGTGACCTGGAGCAGAGCAGGTGACCTGCAGCAGAGCAGGTGACCTGGAGCAGAGCGGGTGACCTGCAGTAGAGTGAGTGACCTGGAGCAGAGCAGGTAAACTGGAGCAGAGCGGGTGACCTGGAGCAGAGTGGGTGACCCGCAGCAGAGCAGGTAAGCTGGAGAGAGCCGGTGACCTGGAGCAAAGCGGGTGAGCTACAGCAGAGCGGGTGACCTGGAGCAGAGCCGGTGACTGGCAGCAGAGCGGGTGAGCCGAAGCAGAGCGGGTGAGCCGAAGCAAAGCGGGTGACCTGCAGCAGAGCAGGTAAGCTGGAGCAGAGCAGGTGAGCTGCAGCAAAGCGGGTGACCTGGAGCAGAGCAGGTGAGCTGCAGCAGAGCGGGTGACCTGGAGCAGAGCAGGTAAGCTGGAGCAGAGCAGGTGAGCTGCAGCAGAGCGGGTGACCTGCAGCAAAGCGGGTGACCTGCAGCAGAGCAGGTGAGCTGCAGTGCATACCTCTGCAGGGCACCACCCAGCAGCTGGAGGAGGATTCACTGCTGTGGCACATGTGATGCTGGAAAGAAGCTGGAGGAGGGCGCAGCCTCTGAAATCCTGCACCGGGAACAGGCCAAAGTCATCAACTGTACTGGAAGTCAGGATGGAGGGCCGGGTTCACGGTCCACTTCTGTTTCTTGATCTGCAAAATGGTTAAACAGGTGGACCAACTGGATGCAGTGGCTCATGCCTGTAATCCCAGCACTTTGAGAGGCTGAAGCAGCTGGGTCACTTGAGGTCAGTTTGAGACCAGCCTGGCTAACATGGTGAAACCTTGTCTCTACCAAAAATACAAAAATTAGCCAGGCGTGGTGGTGCACACCTATAGTCCCAGCTATTTGGGAGGCTGAGGCAGGAAAATCGCTGGGAGGTGAAGGTTGCTGTGAGCAAAGATCATGCCACTGCACTCTAGCCTGGGCAACAGTGCAAGACTCCATCTCGAAAAAAGAAACAGGTGGCTCACACTTGTAATCCCAGCACTTTGGGAGGCTAAGGCATGTGGATCATGAGGTTGGAAGATCAAGACCATCCTGGCCAACATGGTGAAACTCCATCTCTAATGAAAATACAAAAATTAACTGGGCATGGTGGGCTACTCAGGAGGCTGAGGCAGAATTGTCTGAACCCAGGAGGTGGAGGCTGCAGTTAGCCGAGATTGTGCCAATGCACTCCAGCCCAGGTGACAGAGCAAGACTCTATCTCAAAAAAATAAAATAAAATAAATAAAAGAAACAAGTGAACCCACTTCTTAAAAACTCACTACTGATGGAGATTTGTAGTTTTCTATATATGCATGACACTTCAAAAAAAAGCACAAGTTACGCTGGGCACAGTGACTCATGCCTGTAATCCCAGCACTTTGGGCGGGAGGATTGCTTGAGGCCAGGAATTTGACATTAGCCTGGGCAACATGTTGAAACCCTGTTTCTACCAAAAATAAAAAAACTAGCCAGGTGTGGTGGCATGCATTAATAGTCCCAACTACTCGGGAGGATGGCTTGAGCCCAGGAGGTCGAGAAAGCAGTGAGCTATGATCATGTCACCGCACTCTAGCCTGGGCAGTCTTGACCTTATAGAATGATTCTAGGGAAAGACAGATAGGAAGTGAATCATTAAATACGATTAGAAAGGGTGAGAGTGCCGTGAAGGAAAGACACAGGATGAGATTTGTTGAGAACAGTGGGGTGGGGGAAGGCACTTTCTTAGCTGTGAAAGCTGCTGAAGGGTGGGATGGGGGCTCAGCCAGATGAAGAGCAAGGTGGGCAACAGTCTGGGGTGTCTGAGGGGCAGAGTCAGGAGGGAGGGGCAGGGCAAGCCTGTGGGGGGCTCAGTGGCTGACACAGGAGGGCAGCTTTCACTGCATTGGGAGGTGTTAAGGGCTTAATGTGTGAGTGTGTGTCTGTGTGTAGGGGGTTGGGGGAGACCCAGATGCAGTCTGGGAAGGGCCACCTGGCAGCTGTGTGGAGTGGGAACTGCAGAGGGAAGGGTAGAGGTAGCCAGGCCAGCTACAGGGCTGCTGCACCTGTCCAGGTGGGAAATAGATCCATGGATCCAGGTTACACCTGAGGATGAAGTCACAGGCTGCCTGCTGTGCCTTAGTTCCCTCCCTCAAACCCTGAGAACAAGCTACCACTGTATTCAGCACTGAGGGTCTGGAGTGATGGTCCCTCTGTATAATATTTACAGAGGGCAGGAGGGAATTTCCTTGGACCGTGAGAAAGTTCAGAAGAAAACACATCAGGGCTGATGAGGCGGCCTGTGCTTTGCTTGTCACTGGCAGGACAAGCAGAAACCCAGTCACTTGGAGCTCCTCTGTCTAGCCTCCTCAGCCCTGCCGCCTGCTCCCCTCACACTCCCACTTCCCTGCACAGCTGGTGTTCTTCCAGCCCTCTGTGCTTCTGCGAATGTCTCCTTCCTCCCTCCCTCCACGTCCTCCCAGTGAACATCAGACAGACCCTCAGGGTGTTTTCCTGGTGCCGTTATTCACCCTTCCTTTGTCTTGGACACACCTGGGCCTCAGGTGTGGACCAGATCTCTTTCTGCATGTCTCCTGAACCTAGCAGCTGTATGACGAGAGCCCCACAGAGGCAGGGACTGATCTGTTCCTCCCATATCCTCAGGCCCCACACAGAGCAGTGCTAGATCAATCCATGAGCTGATGGGTGGTCTTACAAGATGGAAGACAAAGGGCTGGGCAGGAGGACCCCTGGGGCACCTTTCCTGCCTGTTTCCTGTGCTGCTGTTGCTCTGCGCACACTATAGGTGTGGGCACACTGGATGCCCAACTCATATCCAGTGGGCCTCTTCCCCAGCTGCAGCCCCCAGCAGAGCCCGTCACATTGGCACCTGCCACAGTGCTGATCAAATGTGTCTGTGTGGCTGCAGCCCAGGGTCCCAGGCCTTGGAGGGGATGTACACGCTCAGTGTGTCACACACAGGGCTCTCCAAACTGAGGGTTGGAACCCATGTGCCCTATGAAATCAGGATTGCAATTGAAAAAAAAGGGTCCAGCACAGTAGCTCATGTCTGCAGTCTTAGCACTCTGGGAGGCCCAGGTGAGAGTATCGTTTGAACCCAGGAGTTTGAGACCGGTCTGAGCAACAGAATGAGACCCCATCTTTACAAAGAATTAAAAAACTAGCTGAGCATGGTGGCAGGAGCCTGTGGTCCCAGCTACTCGCGAGGCTGAGGCAGAAGGATCATTTGAGCCCAGGAGTTTGAGGCTGCAGTAAGCCATAAGCGTGCCACTACACGCCAGCCTGGGTGAGATCCTGATTCTGGAGGGGAAAAAAAAAAAAAAAAAAAGAATCAGAAATAGTAGGGTGCTTTTTAATGTAGTAAGGGTGGCTTCTGCAGCTTATTTTAGCTGTACCTGTAAACCTGAGCGTGTATACTCTATCAGAGTATAAAACGTATTTCTCACTGCAGGTTGTGATGAAAAATTTGGAAAGCCCCTGGGCTGCAGTGTCCTGGCTTTCCCCCGTGCCAGGACCCTCTTTTTTTTTTTTTTGAGATGGAGTCTTGCTGTATCACCAGACTGGAGTGCAGTGGCGCAATCTTGGCTCACTGCAACCTCTGCCTCCTGGGTTCAAGCAATTCTGCCTCAGCCTCCCGAGTAGCTGGAACTACGTGTGCGCCACCACACCTGGCTAATTTTTGTATTTTGTTTTTTCTAGTAGAGATGGATTTCACCATGTTGGCCACGATGGTCTTGATCTCCTAACCTCGCGATCTGCCTGCCTCAGTCTCCCAAAGTGCTGGGGCTACAGGCGTGAGCCACCGCACCCGGCTGCCAGGACCCTCTTTCCTCTGTATTTCTCCTCTCCGGGGAAGGTGACCTACCTTTCTCAGAGCAGGAACACGAACAGGGGCTACATCTGGGCAGGACTTTGTGATGTTTACACAGACGATCTCGTTGACCCTGTGATGGGTGAGGGGTGTCTGGAGGACTGTGTGATCTTGGGCAAGCTGCTCAACCTCTCTGGGCTTCAGTTCCTATCTCAGTGAAGCTGAGGATGCAGTGAGATTTTGTGTGCAAAGGGTGTGAGATAAATGCGATCAACTCCTTTGCACAAAGTAACCAACTGGCTGATGAGCCCTCCAGTGACAGTGAGGATGCCAGGAGTGCTCAATTAAGCCAGAAGGTACAGTAGCTCCCAGATACAACCCGCACCCCCAGCACCACTGCGCCAGAGCAGCTGACACACACTCAGTGCTTACTACACACCACGCACCACCACACCACAGCAGCACACACTTAACACTCAGTGCACACCACACACACCATAGCAGCTCACACACCACACACCACACCACAGCAGCTCACACACTCACCACTCACTACACACCACACACCACACCACAGCACCTAACACACACTCCACACTCAGTACACACCAGGCACTGCTCTAAGTCCTTTATGCTGCTCTCATTTAATCTTCAAGAGTTCTAAGGTCTGGATGCTGTTCTTATTCCCATTCTGAGGTGAAGACACTGAGGCTCACAGGTTAACCCATGCTCCAGGTCACTTAGCTCTAAGTGGTGAAGCCAAGGCTTTGGCCCTGCAGCCCGAATCCCTGTGCCCTGGGAAAGCCGGTTCCACGGCCAGCCCCGCCCCACTTGTACCTCTTGGCTCCCTCCTCGGTGGTCTCTCCTTCTTGCACTTTGCCCCCAAAGCCATTCCAGCGGCCGGCCCCAAAGCCTCGCTTTTTCATGCCCAGGAGAACTTGCTGAGGCTGCAGGACCAGCACCAGCGTAGAGAGCCTGGAGGCGCCCATGGTCCCTGGGTTCTGAAAGGAAAGTTCTGAGGGCAGAGTTGGTGGTGACACTCATGGAGGAAGCAGGTGCCAAGGCCCAGGAGGAAGGGGATGTGCTTTGGGAGGCGGGGAGGGGAAGCCGTGATTGCTGGCTTGTTGGGGTCCGGCACGTCTGCCGGGGGACTACCGACCTGCGGGAGTCCCCGAGACCGCCAACGTAGATGTCTCGTTCAACCTGAGAGAGAGAGTGCGCGGAAGAGAAAGAATATAGAAAAGTAGAGTCTGGAGGGCTGGGCAGTGCAGCAGCAGCCACAGCGAGCCACAGTGACAGCCACAGCGATTTTATTCTTGTGGGTTACAGCTTTTATACCTTTTTCTTGTTACATTTACTTAATCTCAGTAGAAAGAAAAAAAAAGGGGTAAACAGAAAGGAAATAGAAACTCCATAAAAAATAGTTATCAGGGGCTTGTGATATCCGCTCAGAAAGCAGTTTAAGGGGGCTTGTGATAGGAGTTTACATTTCAAAGATACAATGGCGCCCTTAAGGTGGCTGGTTAAACCTGTTTTTCACCAGGAGCTAAAACAAAGGCTTGGCTCCAGGGAAAATATGGGCAGAGGTCTCTGCTCCTCTTAGGCATCTCAATTGCAGCAAGTTTATTGCTTACACAGAGACTGATGGGGACATGGAAGCAGACTGCATAATGTCCTCATAAACTTCAGGCCTTTGCTTTGCATTCTGTTGTTGCTTTTAGTGACTCAGCTCGCGGCCCTTTGTCTCACTCGACAGCCCTCGAGGTGGGGAAATGCAGACAGGTCCAGCAGCCAAACTGGGGCGAGTCAACTAGCTGTCTCGAGCCCTTGGCGCGAACACTACACTGGCTCTAACTTCCTTTCCCCTAACTCAGCTGCAAAGGACAAAGTGACCTTTCCAGAGCAGACTCTTGCTCCTGCGTCTGCCCCCAGGAACCCCCTGGCCATAGGCACAGCAGTGGGGCAGAACAGTCTCTGTGCCTGACTGACACCAAAAGAACCACACAATTTATCCTGTGGTTCTCAGGTCAGGCTTCAACACTGGCCTTTTGATTAACAGGAGCTTCTTCCAGCCTAGTGGGACCTGGCCTGCTTCTCCTGTAGCAGGCTTCCCAATTCACAGGAAATGCGTGACTGCAGACACAGGTCCACTTAGCCGGGCCCGGCTAGTCCTCCCTCCTGTGACAGGAGTTTATACCCCACTCACTCTGCTCCTACTGTGGCCACTGTGGGACCTGGTACCCAGAGAGGCCACTGGAAGCAAGGGCCCTTCCTGCTCCCACAGGTGGGCAGGTCCAGGTCCAGAGAAGGACTCTGAGGGTGATGCCTCCACCAAGTCTCTGCTGGAAAAAGGACTCTGGAGAAATGCTGGGGGACCAGGACCAACTTACCTTCTCTTCCTCTCTCTCTCCTTCTTTCTTTTGAGACCTTCCCTCCTTTCTTTCGAGACAAGAGCTGGGGGACCAGGACCAATTTTCCTTTATTTATTTATTTATTATTTAGGGACAAGAGCCTGCTCTGTTGCCCAGGCTGGAGGAGAGTGGTATTATCTGGTTTCACTGCAACTTCGGCCTCCCGGGCTGAAGCTGCCTCCTGCCTAAGCCTCCAGCATAGCTGGGACCACAGGCATGAGCCACCATGCCCAGCTAATTTTTGTATTTTTAGTAGAGATGGGATTTTGCCATGTTGCTCAGGCTGGTCTTGAACTCCTGGGCTCAAGCAATCCACCCACCTCGGCCTCCTAAAGTGCTGAGATTTACAGGCATGAGCCAGTGCACCCAGCCAGGACCAACTTTTCTGGGGTCTACACCTGTCCCCCAGGACAGGACTCAGACACAGAATTCAGGACCAGTGATCCTCCTTAGAAGTTGTGGTGTCTAAGAAAAGGGATGGGACAATAAGGAAGCGGGGCAGGGAAGGGCTGGCTAGAAGAGGGCGTGGTTTCTGGCTTGGGCTCCACCCCCAGGCCTGTGCCCAGGAACCTAGGTGAGGACAGGCATTTCTGTTTTCCTGCCTAAATGTTGTATTTCCCAAGCCCGCCAGGACCCCATCCTGTGCCTTTAAAACCCCCCAGACCCTACTGGGCAGAGAGACACAAGCCGCTAGACATCAAGAGGATGTGAAGAGCAAACCAACAGGCACCAGCAGCAGGCCGGCAGGGAATCAACTGGCAGAACCACAAGGAGTTTGGCAGGGGCGGTGGGAGGAGAGCCTGGGCTGCCTGGCGGCCTTGACTCCAAGGGAAAAACCATCTTCCTGCTCCAACTCCCTTCTGGCTCCCCCATGTGCTGAGGGCTACTTCCACTCAATAAAACCTTGCACTCATTCTCCAAGCCCACGTGTGATCCCACTGCTCCAGTACACCAAGGCAAGAAACCCCGGGATACAGAAAGCCCTCTGCCCTTGCGATAAGGCAAGGAGGCTAATTGAGCCGACACAAGCCACCTATACCGCTAAACTGAAAGAGCACCCTGTAATACATGCCCAGCGGGGCTTCAGGAGCTGCAAACATTCACCCCTAGACACTACTGTGAGGTCAGAGTCCCACAGCCTGCCTGTCTGTATGCTCCCCTAGAGGCTTGAGCAGCGGGGCACTGAAGAAGTGAGCCACATCCCTATCGCACGCCCTTCAAGAAGGGCAAGGGAACCTGTCCCATTTCATTGAGACTGGGTCCTGGTGGTGGAGGCAGGTCAGACAGAGTAAATGGGTTTGTGGCTGAGCTTCTCACGAGGCCCGTGTACTTTGTCCTGACACTGATTTGTTCCTGCCAGAAGCCATGGTTTCCGAAGTAAATTTTTGTGATGATTTACTGCCGGTCTTTCCCGACCCCGCTCTCCTGGTCTCCCCCAAGCCCCTGACCCCCCGGCTCGGCTCCACTGGTCTCCTCCAAGCCCATGGGCTACGCTTACCGGATCTCCTGCAGCCCGCTGGCTCAGCTCCCCTACCTGGTCACCCCTGCTACTAGAATCCCCGCGCGCACTTTCCGTACCTGCACTGCCGCTTCTGGGGACGGAACCTCTGACCGGAAGTGAGGTGAGGCATTTCCGGCGGCTTGCTGCAGGCGCGGGGGCTACCCATGGCGGGGTGAGAGGGGTGCCGGTGGCGTGCGTGCAGGAGGCGGGAGTGGTTGTGGGTCCGCCCCGTCATCTTCCTCCGTCCTGGCCTCAGGTCTGGATCCCAAGCGCTGGGCACTGTCGCTGCACTGAGCGAGCGCGACAGGAGCGAGGCCGGGGCTCCGGGTCTCAGATTCCTGGGAGGAGGGCATCCTCAGATCTCCAAGGGTCGGCGGAGCCGTGGGGAGGCCGAGGCGGTGGGGGCCGAGTCCAGGTGCGGGAGCAGCGCCGGGGCCCAGATCCGAGGCGCCCGGGGCTGCGCCGGGGGCTTCCTTTCATGAGCCGGGTAGCTCCACTGCCCACGTTTCCGGGGCTGTCGAGTATGCTCTCGCCCCTTGGACCAGCCTGTGCCGTTCTCCCGGGAGACCTCTTCAGCCTAGTGAAGACAACGACTCATGGTCACCAGTCAGTGCGTCCTGGCTGGTTGGCACACTTTGGTGTTGCAGAAGCTAGAAGCTTTGGTTTTGGAGCCATGGGGGTAGTAACTTTTTTTTTTTTTTTTATTAGAAAGATGGACATGGAGACCGGGCTTGGTGGCTCACACCTGTCATCCCCGCACTTTGGGAGTCTGAGGCGGGAGGATCGTTTGAGCTTAGGAGTTCGAGACCAGCCTAGGGAATATAGTGAGATGCCATCTCTAAAAAAAGTTTTTAAAAATAAAATAAAAAAAGCCCAGGCATGGTGGTGCATATCTGTAGTCTCAGCTACTCACGAGGCTGAGGTGGTGGGAGGTTCACTTGAGACCCAGAGGTTATGGCAGCAATCAGCTGCGATTTTGACACTGCACTCCAGCTTGGGTGATAGCAAAACTCTGCCTATTAAAAACCAAACAACCAAAAAGTGGCCGGGTGAGGTGGTTCATGTCTGCAATCCCAGCACTTTGGGAGACCGAGGTGGGCGGATCGCCTGAGGTCAGGAGTTGGAGACCAGCTTGGCCAGCAGGGTGAAACACTATCTCTACTGAAAATAGAAAAATACGCCAGAAGTGGTGGTACACACCTGTAGTCCCAGCTACTCAAGAGGCTGAGGTGGGAGGTTCTCTTGAGCTCCAGAGGTTGTGGCTGCAGTCAGCTGTGATTGTGCCACTGCACTCCAGCCTGGGTGGCAGCAAAACCTTGTCTAAAAAAAAAAAAAAAAAGAAAAATGGCCACGTACAGTGGCTCAACACCTGTAATCCCAGGACTTTGGGACGTCGAGGTGGGTGGATCACCTGAGATCAGGAGTTTGAGACCAGCCTGGGCAACATGGTGAAACCCATCTATGCTGAAAATTCAAAAATTAGATGGATGTGGTGGTGGGTGCCTGTAATCCCAGCTACTTGGGAAACTGGGACAGGAGAATTGCTTGAACGTGGGAGTTGGAGGTTGCAGTGAGCTACCACTGCACTCTAGCCTGGGTGACAGAGTGAGACTCTGTCTCCAAAAAAAAAGAAAAAAGGGCATAGAACTTACTTGGTGAGGTTGTTCTCAGAGTTAAACAGGGGAGGTGTGTATAGCTTTCACCTGATTAGCTATTGTGGGCTATGAATAAATTGTTACAGCACAGCTTGTCCAGAGAATCTTGGAAATTGTCCTTCAGCAATTCACACGGGTTTAGTTCAATTTTATTTAAGACATGTAGGTGGGAGGACTGTTTGAGCCCAGGACTTTGAGTCTGTGTTGAGCCATGACCTTGCTACTACACTCTAGCCTGGGCTATAGAGCGAGACCTAGTCTCAAGAAAAAAAAAAAAAAAAAATGGGACAGGCCAGATCCTCTGTGCCAGCTGCCAAAGCCCTGGAACTAGGTAACTCAGGCAAGGACCTGTCCTTAGGAGGTTTTCTTGCAGTCTCTCATAGCCCAATGAAGGTTTTTTGCCAGATGAGAAAAGAATATTACTTTAATGAATTAGTTTCTTTATTATTATTATTATTTTTTTTTCTTTTTTTTTTTTCTTTTTTTTTCTTTATTATTTTTTTTGAGACGGAGTTTTGCTCTTGTTACCCAGGCTGGAGTGCAATGGCATGATCTCGGCTCACCGCAACCTCCGCCTCCTGGTTTTAGGTGATTCCCTTGCCTCAGCCTCCCGAGTAGCTGGGAGTACAGCCGTCCGCCACCATGCCTGTAAATTTTTAATTTTAGCTGAGACAAGATTTCACCATGTTGGCCAGGCTGGTCTTGAAATCCTGACCTCAGATGATCCAAGACCTGCCTTGGCCTCCCTAAGTGGTGGGATTATAGACGTGAGCCACTATGCCCGGCCCCTAATCTCTTTGTATACAGACATTAGTCCTGTTGGAATAGGGCCTACCAATATGACCTTGTTTTAACTTGATCATCTCTTTAAGGGCCCTGTCTCCGAATACACTTGTATTCTGAGGTACTGGGGGTTAGGACATCAATACATGAATTTTGTGGGGACACAGTTCGGCCTGCAATGCCTGCTTTCTGACTGTATTGCTTTGTCAGTTCACCTCCCCTCCTGGGTCTTGGTGCCTCATCTCTAGAAATGAAAGAGTTGAACCGAGGGCTCTCCCAGCTCATGACCTGCTGATCTGTGTGATTGCCAACCTGCCTGCTTCTCTTCTCTCCTACCAGGTTCTTGAAGCTGGTGTGTGCTTCCTTTCAGCGTAAAGGGTTCCACACTGCCAGGAGTCACTGCAAGAATCAGACAGGTGCTGAGCACCTGTGGCTGACTCGGCATCTTAGGGACCCATTTGTGAAGGCTGCGAAGGTGGAGAGTTATCGGTGTCGAAGCACCTTCAAGCTCCTGGAGATGAATGAGAGGCATCAGATTCTGCGGCCTGGCCTTCGGGTGTTAGACTGTGGGGCAGCTCCTGGGGCGTGGAGTCAGGTGGCGGTGCGAAAGGTCAGTGCCACAGGCACAGGTGGGAACTCTGCATGGCTGTTGGCACCTTCTGGCTACCCTGAGGCTGAGTGGGCACAGGCAAGCTGCCTCTGCCAGTGGATATGGGATGGTTGAGCCCTTTTCTGAAAGCACCCACTTCCGAGTTGGTGGTTTGGTAATGGTAATGATAAAAACAGGATCCTGCCATTTTCAAACTGAAAGACAAGGTAGAAAGGTGCAGTGAAAATGGAGATGACCTCACATGATACCTCCTTTAGGAGGTAATGGCTCCAGCACGCCGGTGTATGTCCTTCCAGGCCTATGTTTGCATAGATCCCTCATGTGTTTAAAAGCAATGTCGGGTCATACTCTTATTGCTAATTTTCAGCCTTACTGGAGCTATTTTTGCTTAATAATACACACATATATATATTTTTGTTCCCCTTCCCCAAGATGGAGTCTTGCTCGTAGCTGAGGCTGGATGCCGTGGCATGATCCCGCCTCACTGCAGCCTCTGCATCCCGGGTTCAAATGATTCTCCGGCCTCAGCCTCCAGAGTACGTGGGATTACAGGCACCTGCCACCACAGCCAGCTAATTTTTTTTTTTTTTTTTTTTTTTTTAGTCAAGATGGGGTTTCATCATATTGGCCATGCTGGTCTTGAGCTCTTGACCTCAGGCGATCTGCCCACCTCGGCCTCCCAAAGTGCTGGGATTACAGGTGTGAGCCACTGTGCCTGGCCTCTCTTAATGATATATTGACCTCTCTCCCCAACAGCACAGCTGAATCGACTCCAGAGCTTTCCAAGTCCTGTAAGCCTTAGGGCTTCCTGGTGACCCCACTGGGGCTGCTGCCTCTGGAGCCTAGAGGAGGCTTTGTGGCCAAGGCTATGGATTCTCCACTCTGGGTGAAGCTGAGACAGTTTTCATCTGTTTGTATCTTAGGGTTTTGAGTAAGATTTTCTATATAAAAAGATTCCCCTGAATAATGAGATCAACCAGCCACCCATACAACTTAAGAAACTGTCATCATTGGGAACAGTTACATCCTGTTCCATGATATGCTTGTACGTTAGGTTCTTTACCAGTTCCCTCACCGTGGGCATCAAGGTTGCTTGTGGCTTTTTGCTGGGATGCGTGTGCTGTGGTGAATATCTTTGCCACTGATGTTTCCTGCTGTCAAGCCAGGGTACCTACATGCACTGGCATTTGAACAGGGTAAGACAGTCCACCCAGAGCGTTCCCAGATACCCTACAGTGGGGATACTGGTACCCATTTATTGGTGAGAAAACTGAGGCTCAAGAGTTTTGTGATTTGTTGACAGTGCAGACCTGGAATGCTGGCCCCCTGGATCTGCAAGTCAGCCTCACTGCTGGTTTGCTGTAGGTTTGCCATGAACGCTTGGTGTCTACCTGCATCTCCTGGGTGGTCCCTGCCCGTACTTAGGCCAGGATATGCCTCTTCGGGGTTTTGAACAGCCCTCGCCCCTTTTTCCTTTCCTTTTTTTTTTTTGGGATACAGTCTCACTCTGTTGTCCAGGCTGGAGTGCAATGGCGTGATCTTGGCTCACTGCAGTCTCCATCTCCTGAGTTCAATTGATTTCCAGCTAATTTTTGTATTTTTAGTAGAGACAGGGTTTTGTCATGTTGGCAAGGCTGGTCTTGAACTCCTGACCTCAAGTGATCCGCCCACCTCAGCCTCCCAAGGTGCTGGGATTACAGGCATGAGCCACTGTGCCCTGAGCAGCCCTTTTCTTGTTTTTTTAGCTCAACAATTATTGTCTAAATGAGTAAGTTTGTGTTGGAAATGTCAGTTCCTTTTCTTATTGCTGAGCTTATCACTCTGGAGTCCTCCGAGTAACTGATTTCCATGGTTTCTGTTCCCCTAAGTGCTCTTGAGATGAAGCAAGAAAGTTTGCCTTGTAGGAGGAAGTGACAGGAGCAGAGCACGTGGGGTGATCTGCCTGTTCTTTTCCTCCTGTAAGTCACAAGCATGCGGCCAAAGCCGCCTTCGATGGAAACTTCCGAAGGTTGTAACATGTGGGATGTTACAGGAGCAAAAAGTGAGGGATGAGGCCAGGTGCGGTGGCTCATGCCTGTAATCCCAACACTTTTGGAGGCTGAGGTGGAAGGATCACCTGAGGTCAGGAGTTCGAGACCAGCCTGGACAACATGATGAAACCCTCTCTCTACAAAAAAAAATTAGCCATGTGTTGTGGCATGTGCCTGTCATCCCAGCTACTTGGGAGGCTGAGGTGGGAGGAGTCGCTTGACCCTGGGGAAGTTGAGGCAGCAGTGAGCTGAGGCCAGGCAATGGAGTGAGACCCTGTCTCACACACACACAAAAAGCTGATGTTTATTTGTTTTTTGAGACAGAGTCTCACTCTGTTGTCCATGCTGGAGTGCAGTGGCACAATTTCAGCTCACTGCAACCTCTACCTCCCAGGTTTAAGCAGTTCTCTGCCTCAGTCTCCTGAGTAGCTGGGATTGTAGGACCGTGCCATCTCGCCCAGCAAATTTTTTTTTTTTTTTTGTATTTTTAGTAGAGACAGCGTTACACCTTCTTGGCCAGGCTGGTCTTGAACTCCTGACCTTGTGATCTGTCTACCTCAGACTCCCAAAGTGCTGGGATTACAGGCATGAGCCACCATGCCTGGCCAACTTGCTGATATTTCGGTAATACCCATTATAAAACTAAAAAGATGCCATTGCTTCGCCTACCTAAAACAAGACTTTTTGCCCATAACTGATCTCAGTGTCTACTCCCCCCTTCTCCCTCTGAACCTACATTCAAAGCCCCACTTCACAAGCTCAATGCCCTTATCTCTTCAGTCGCCTCCACTGAGGAGTGGCGTAGTTCTGTTGAGAAACGTCAGAGTTGATAAACTAAGGGCACAGCCACAGATTTTCTTGTTCAGTCTGCTTAACAGAAAGGCTGTTCCAATGGTAAGGGGAACGGAAGGGTTCGTGTTTCATTTCTGGCTTAAACATTGGAAGTCCACGTATTTTGAAGAGTACCTTATTTTTCAAAGGTGAAAACCCTCAATCTTCAGCCCAGGAAAATGGGACATCTTGTGCCTCATTTTAGCTGGATTTCCTGAGTAGCTGAGACTATAGGCATACGGCACCAGACCCAGCTAATTTTTATGTATTTTGTAGAGACAGGATGTCACTATGTTGCCAAGGCTGGACTGGAACTCCTGGACTCAAGCAGTCCTCTCAGCCTCAAAAAGTGCTGGGATTTATTAGTGTGAACCAGTACACCCAGCCAGTATCAGTTTTTGTACATTATTTTGTATCTGTTAATTTTCCCCATCTCTTGACTTGTTTCCATTAGTTCCTACATTGAAAGCAATTGGATTAAGCTGGATAATGGATTTATTGATTTAATCCAGAGGCACTTTATGTACTAGTATATTATTTTCTTTTCTTTCTTTCTTTCTTTTTTTTTTTTTTGAGATGGTGTCTTTCTCTGTCACTCAGACTAGATTGCAGTGGCACCATCTTGGCTTACTGCAACCTCCGCCTCCTGGGTTCCAGTGATTCTCCTGCACATTACAGGCATGTGCCACCAAGCCTGACTAATTTTTGTATTTTTAGTAGAGATGGGGTTTCACCATGTTTGCCAGGCTGGTCTCGAACTCCTGACCTCAGGTGATCTGCCCACCTCAGCATCCCAAAGTGCTGGGATTACAGGTGTGAGCCACTGCACCTGGTCTATTTTCCATTTTAGTTTATAAAAAGACCACTCAGAGATAAGAACCCTTTCATAGAGAGTGAGCCCTGGGTAGTGAAATGATAGCAGATTTGGAATCAGAAGTCCTAGGATCTGGCCTTGGGTACTGAAATGATAGCAGATTTGGAATCAGAAGTCCTAGCATCTGGCACAGGTCTGCCCATCACTGATGCTGACTCTAGGATAGTCACTTCCTGTCTAGGCCTCAGCTTCTCAGGTGTTAAGAGCAGCCACCTCCCCAACTGTGTCTTTATAGGATGTAGATAGTGAGATAAGGCCTGTGTTCATTTATTTGCACATTAGCTCTTTGCCTTGGTTGACATTTTATTTTTATTTCATCACTTTGTAGCATGTACTGTATTTTTGTGAAAAGATTCAGGGTATAAATAAATAACACATTCACCATTTCTTCCTTAGATCTCAGCTCTCCTGTTGGCTTTGTGCTTGGGGTGGATCTTCTTCACATATTCCCCCTGGAAGGAGCAACTTTTCTGTGTCCTGCTGATGTGACTGACCCAAGAACCTCACAGAGAATCCTAGAACTGCTTCCTGGCGGGAGAGCAGATGTGATTCTGAGCGACATGGTGCCCAATGCCACAGGGGTCAGGGACCTAGATCCCGACAGGCTCATTAGCCTGTGCCTGTCCCTTCTGGGCATGACCTCAGACATCCTCCACCCTGGGGGAACATTCCTTTGTAAAACATGGGCTGGAAGTCAAAGCTGTCAGTTACAGAGGAGACTGTCAGAGAATTCCAGAGCATAAGGATCATCAAACCGGAAGCCAGCAGGAAAGAATCATCAGAAGTGTACTTCTTGGCCACACAATACCATGGAAGGAAGGGCACTGTGAAGCAGTGAGGATTTCTTGTGCCATTTTCATAGTGGTTATTAGCTCCTTTTAAGCTCTAAATGTAGGCTGAGCTCCTTCCTGAAGAGTTCCTGGGAGACCTGAGCTGATCTAGGAGATGGAACAGGTCAAGTGGGGAGTTTTTCTCTCTCTTTCTCCCTCTGTCTCTAACCAAAAAGAGATGACAAAAGTAAATTCAGGGCCTATGGAAAATAAAAAGTCTGCTGTATCGTGATTTGTGAAGATAAAGTTACCAAGAAAAAGAGATAGGTGAGGATAGAAGGATGAAGAAAGACAGACTATAGGAAGGATCAGAAGGGATTCGTTGAGGCAGGGATGGGTGTGCCCATGTGTGCCTTCATCTTATAGACTGTTAAACTGTTACACAGAAACAGGTGTAAGAACATCCACAGGTTTCCAGTTCTTCGTTTGGCTGTTTAGTGTAAAGCAAAAAATCTGGAGGCTGGCTGAGGCTACTCACACCTGTAATCCCAGGGCTTTGGGAGGCTGAGACAGGGGGATCACTTGAGGTCAGGAGTTCAAGACAAGCCTGACCGCAAGTGCCCCCGATCTCTACAAACATGGAGAAACAACCAAACCAAAAGAAGAATCTGAAATTTCCATCTGGTGGATTAACTTCTGTCTTTCTGGTGAATAATCTAGAAATTCATGCATTCTTCAAGCAGCAAGAGTTCCCAGAACAATTAGGAAAGACGTATTGTTTGCATTTATGCATGTGGTGAGTGTGCTTTGGTTTGTGCTGGAAATAAATACTGGTGTCTGGGCTTCCAAGACCATAAAGGTAATTGCCAGAGCAAGCAGTGATGTGGTGTGTTTATTTTCTTTTACTCTTCTCGGAACTTGATATTTAATAAAATAATAGAGATTGCATTATTTTATTATAGAGACTTTAATGCTTTTAAGTTTTGTTTTTTAAAACTGGCTTCCTCAAAGCCGTTTCCTGGAGGTGTACTTGTCCCTCAAGAAGAATTTGTTGACTGTAACTGTGATTAAATTCCAAGGACTGGTCAGATGTGGTGGCTCACGCCTGTAATCCCAGCACTTTGGGAGGCCGAGGCAGGCAGATCACCTGAGGTCGGGAGTTGGAGACCAGTCTGACCAACATGGAGAAACCCCATCTCTACTCAAAATACGAAATTAGCCAGGCGTGGTGGTGCATGCCTGTAATCCCAGCTACTTGGGATGCTGACACAGGAAAATCACTTGAACCTGGGAGGTGGAGGTTGCGGTGGGCTGAGATTGAGCCATTGCACTCCAGCCTGGGCAACAAGAGCAAAACTCCATCTCAAAACAAACAAAAACGTTCCAAGAACCAGTGGTGGAATTCTAGAAACTCAGAAATCTCCATCAGGGATCTGGGGCTCATTCCAGCTCCTGGAAGGAAGCTGCAGGTCAGATGTTTTTACTTTTCATTTTATTTCTGGTTGCAGTCAGGTAGTTAAGTCCGAGGAATCTTGCCCTACTCCACCTCATTCTCTTCTCATCCCATTTCACTCCTGGGGCACACAATTTGGAAGTCTTTTTCTCTGGAAGAAGGAAAATTCGTTGCAGACCCTTATGAACATCACCTTCTTAGAGGGAAGCCAAAGGCTGGGCAGAGGTGGGAGGAGGAGAGGAGGAGAATTTGGAAATGAGTAAGGCACACCCTTCTCAGGAAGGATCCCAGTTGCAAGGTAGATAAGACTTACCATAAGAATGGTGGGGCCTGGCCAGGTGCAGTGGTTCACGCTTGTAATCACAGCACTTTGGGAGGCCAAGGTGGGAGAATCACGAGGTCAGGAGCTGGAGACCAGCCTGGCCAACATGGTGAAACCCCAACTCTAATAACAATACAAAAAATTAGCTGGATGTGGTGGCGGGGGCCTGTAATCCCAGCTACTTGGGAGGCTGAGGCAGGAGAATTGCTTGAACCTGGGAGGCGGAGGTTGCAGTGAGCAGAGATCCTGCCACTACACTCCAGCCTGGCGACAGAGGGAGACATCATGTCAAAAGAAAAAAAAAATACAAAAATTAGCTGGCATCGTGGTGGGTGCCTGTAGTCCCAGCTACTCTGGAGGCTGAGGCAGGAGAATCGCTTGAACTTGGGAAGAGGAGGTTGGAGTGGGCTGAGATTGCACAACTGCACTCCAGTCTGGGCGACAAAGCAAGACTGCGTCTAAAAAAAAAAAGAGAGGGTGGAGTCTGACCTCACCTCATCTGGTTGGATGCTGTGCTGCGGTTTGCAGAGCACTGGGGAGGTAGCCTAGTAGCATAAATTACATTTCTAGTGGGCCCAGAACAAAGCAATATAACGGATTGATTCAAGCTGATACTGAGTAGCAAAATTTTGTTAAGAGCCAGGAATGTACTGGATTATGGTGATGATTTTTGGATGGTATGTGCTTCATTATTTTATTTGGGGTAGCTACAGTGTAGTTTTGGGTAACAGCTACACTTTGGCACTATTTTCCTTTAAAATTTTTAGTGTCTAAGATTTACTACTAATTAATATATGCCTTTCCAATTCACTTAACACCTTAATAGGTAAAATATTCAGGTGTTACTAGGGTAAATGCTTATTTTCCTACTATTGAGGTTTTTAAAGGCTGTGATTAAAAGAAGTAGAAACCTCTATGAAAGAATTTTTCTTTTCCTTTACATAATATCTTAGAAATGTATTAAAGGCAAGCTATATTTTCCTTACTTGCTTTTGATAGTTTTTTTTTTAAAGCATAGATATCCAGGTTGACAGGCCTCTGAAATGTGAAATTGTAATTTGTATAGATGGCATTACTACAAATCTGAAATCAGTGCTAGGTGTACAAATATAAATTTTTCAATCCTATTATCACATAACAAGATTTCATGGTTTCTTACTGCTGAAAAAAGATGCTATCTTTAGTACTTGTTTTTAATGAAAGACCTTTCTGTGGGAGAGCTATTTTATCGGTAGTTGCTATTGGTGTCTCCATCTGAGAAATAGCCTTTTTTTTTCGGTATTTCTAGAAGTGTTCTCAATTTTAAACTGGAATTCTTCAGGTTAGAAAAACCCGGAATAAAATTGTACCCACAGTGGCCATCAACAAGTGTGATATTTCACAAATGCCAGAGACTAAGATCTTTTATTATCTTTTAACAAAACATGATGTCTTTTTTCATAAAAGACTTAAAAAGTATTTGAGAAATGAGGAAATTCTAAAAATAATAAGCCTCTTAGTTAACATGTCATAAAGACTTCTGGCAACTATATGAGGAGAATTTTGAAAACTTGCCCACTGGTAAGTGGCTTTCTAACTATATCCTTGATGTTCCTCAAGCACTGGTTCATTCGTTCCTCCCTACTTAACTTGAGACCCATCCTTCCCTGTTATTGTGTCATCTAGCCAAATCTGAAAGGCCCTTCATGTTTAATTATCATTTCCCCAATCGAGTCCTAAAGTCAATTAAAAAAAAAAAACTCAATTTTTTTTAACTCATTTGTCCTTTGAGCTAAAAGTAAAGGAAGGTAGATTACAGCCATCACTTCACCCTCACAAGTCAATGTTGAACTTTTCAGACATTTAAGAATCTGACTGACCTACCCTTATAAGAGCAATTACAGAAACTGCAAATTGAGTGAAACCATCATCTGTTTCTACTTGTCAGTACCACATTTGTTTCTTTCTGTATACATTAGCCATTCTGTGCTCTCCAGCTAGTTCTAAAGCTGTTGTGTATAGTGGAAATAGATAAAGTACGATTTTACAAATCACATAGGTTATTGCCATGGAAAAAAAATGTTTTAGCTTCATCGTGCTTAAAGAGGGGCAGAGGGCCGGGCGTGGTGGCTCACACCTGTAATCCCAGCACTTTGGGAGGCTGAGGTGGTGGATCATGAGGTCAAGAGATTGAGACCATCCTGGTCAACATGGTGAAACCCTGTCTCTACTAAAAATACAAAAAAAATTAGCTGGGCATGGTGGCGCGTGCCTGTAACCCCAGCTACTCAGGAGGCTGAGGCAGGAGAATTGCCTGAACACAGGAGGCAGAGGTTGCGGTGAGCACAGACCACACCATTGCACTCCAGCCTGGATAACAAGAGCGAAACTTCGTCTCAAAAAAAAAAAAAAAAAAAAAAAAAAAGAGGGGCAGAATAATGAGAATAAATCTCACAGAGAATGTACTCTATAGAAGAGGTAAGTTAACCATATAGTAAGTGAGTTCCAAAATTATTAAAAATGTAGTTGCTCAGTTAGGATAGGAGCAGATCTCTGTGGAGAGTGTAAATTAGTGGAGAGTAAGTCTAGTTAAAATTTGAGATGTACCTTTGTACAAGCGGTTTTAGAGGGAAGCTGGCTTAACCAACACAGTGGAGATACATGTAACAGGTGAGGTCCCTCTAGGGCAGGTCTTCAGAGATTAGCACGAAGGCTACACGGTGTCATCCTGTTGCAGGATGACAGAGCAGAGTCTGAGCTTTCTGTGTTTGGAGAAGCAGCTGACAGAGGATAGCCCTGCTAGACAGAGGATAGCCCTGGTTTCTGTCGAACTTTTGAATGTATATTTATTTTTGAAGCCCAGTAGTTGAGATCCATAACTTGGTAACTTGCCTATGGGAGTCTGATAAGTTTTAATGTAACAGTCCCAAGGGGAGAGGGGCTCATGCCAAGTTCTCCCATATTGAATCTGATAAGGCATCATATTTTTTAAGGGAGAGGGGAGTTCACTCCAGAACATCAAACTGTTTAAAAAACTGTATTACAAAAGAAGTCATTTTCCCAACTTGACTGTGAATGTGCCAATATATTTATTTATTTTTATTGCGTTTCAGGTTTTGGGGTGCATGTGAAGAACATGCAAGATTGTTGCATAGGTACACACTTGGCAGTGTGATGTGCTGCCTTCCTCCCCATCACCTATATCTGGCATTTCTCCCCATGCTATCTCTCCCCAACTCCCAACCCTCCTCTGTCCCTCCCTTATTTCCCACCAACAGACCCCAGTGTGTGATGCTCCCCTCCCTATATCCATGTGTTCTCATTGTTCAACACCCACCTATGAGTGAGAACATGCAGTGTTTGATTTTCTGTTCTTGTGTCAGTTTGCTGAGAATGATGGTTTCCAGGTCCATCCATGTTCCTACAAAGGACATGAACTCATTGTTTTTGATGGCTGCATAATATTCTATGGTGTATGTGTGCCACATTTTCCCTGTCCAGTTTATCATCGATGGGAATTTGGGTTGGTTCCAAGTCTTTGCTATTGTAAACAGTGCTGCAATGAACATTCATGTGCATGTGTCCTTATAGTGGAACAATTTATAATCCTTTGGATATATACCCAGTCATGGGATTGCTGGGTCAAATGGAATTTCTATGTCTAGGTCCTTGAGGAATCACCACACTGTCTTCCACAATGGTTGAACTAATTTACACTTCCACCAGCAGTGTAAAAGTGTTCCTATTTCTCCATATCCTCTCTGACATCTGTTGTCTCCAGAATTTTTAATGATCGCCATTCCAACTGGCATGAGGTGGTATCTCAATGTAGTTTTGATTTGCATATCTCTAATGACAGTGATGAGCATTTTTTCATGTTTGTTGGCCTCATGTATGTCTTCTTTTGTAAAGTGTCTGTTCATGTCCTTTGCCCACTTATGAATGGGCTTGTTTGTTTTTTTTTCTTGTAAATCTGTTTTAGTTCTTTGCAGATTCTGGATATCAGCCCTTCGTCAGATGGGTAGATTGCAAATTTTTTTCCCATTCTGTTGGTTGCTGATTCACTCTAATGACTGTTTCTTTTGCTGTGCAGAAGCTGTGAAGTTTGATTAGGTTCCATT